ATCGCCCATGGTTGTATGTCAGCACGGCATACTCGGACCTGCTGCGCGAACACAGTGCCCTATGGATCAGTAAGATGCTTGATGCTTCCGTAAGCCTCCACCGTATAGAGGGTGCCTGCTGCCTCTACCAAGACTTTGAAATCTCTTGGCCGAGAGACATAGCCCACCCAGACTCAGGTTCACGCCAGATCTTAAGGGTGCAGGACCCCCGATCCATGCGGGTACGGGTACGAGATAGGCGCGCAGTTTGCAGGCGGGAAGCTTGGGGATGGTGGTGTCTGTGTGTGGTGTTGCAGTTACGGTACGCGGCGGTACGGTACACCCCGCATGGGGGGGAGAGGGGCAGACGGGATGGGATGGTCGATGGGCGAGGTCTAGGCCCGGCCGTGTGGCGCCGGGTGGTCTGATGTGCCGGGGTCCCTGCCAAGGAGGTCCGGAACGGTCTGGAACCTTTTTTTTTTCTCCTCCGCAACAGCAATGCGTATTCCCGCGAATCCACCGTCCGCGAGGGACCGAGGGGCCCAGATGAATTTCGTCTGAAGGGTTACCGCTGTCTGATGTTGCTGCGCCTTCTGGCCCACACCGTGACCGTTGGGATTCTTTGCTCCTCTTTCTTGGGTGGTTTTTGGGGGGTGGGCGGGTTTCCGGAGACTCGGCCGGGGGTAGCGGTGGTGGTGGTTACTGGTGGTGAAAGTCGTCGGTTCGTGGGGCTGGCTGGACGGGGTTCCCTGAGCACAATGGGGGATTGTCGATTTGTCCACTGAAATGGTCCATCATTCTCGCATCATGACTCTGAACTTCTGAAGAGATGACGCGTGGGAGAAAGCGATCCCACGGTGGATCTCACACGAGGCAGAAAAAAACATCTGGAGATGATGATCCGGGAGATCGGCGAACGTTGGAGGCGGCGGTGGGGAAAGAAGATGATCGATTAGCGATCGTCTTTTGGGGTTTGTACGTCGATGGAGGAAGGGTTGAAGGAGGAAACAGAAGGGAAAGGGGGTATGCGAGAGGGAGAGCGATGCGTCTGATGTGGGAAGCCACGAGAGTTTATGCTTCTGCAGGTCTATCCGTACCATTCAGTCCATCGTACCTTGGACGACAACAAGATGGGATGGGACGAGAGGGGGGCTGGCGCTGGCTGGCCGGCAACATGGGCCAGACTGGACTCTTGTTTGTGTAAGCGGGCTTGTGCTTTTTGAGCTTCCGAGGCCGTTGATGGAAGTCCGGGCCAGAACTGGACCAGTCTGGCAGCTAGCCAGACCAGCCCATGACGGGGTCCATGATGAGCCCAGACACCCCCAAAGGTGCTGCTTGCTGACGTCTGAATTTCCTTTGGCCGCTAAGGTAGGTTGCTCGTTTGGCTGCGAACCGGAACCCGACCAGACGAGATGAGACGAAACCAAGACTTTTCGAGAAAGGACGGGATTTCAAGGGAATTGGTTTGATGTCCGGCGGACCGGACCTAGAGCAAGGTAAGCAAGTGGGTTAGAAGGATAGCGCCAGGTCTTGGGCATGCTGCTCGAGTGAAGGAAATTTGACATGGAACCAGAACGGGAAGTTTCCGTTCGTGAACTTCATATAGACAGATACGTGAGACTTGCGCTGTACGAACTATGGTTTTGTGATTTGCGGTTAGCGGGAGACTTCTTCGAGGCTAGTCTGGTCCCAATTTCTGGATAGCGATTTCTTACCGATTGAGCAGACAAGCGTGGATAACCTAGCGTTCTAATTAAACGGGATTCTGGGTGATAAAACGGCAGGCGACGCGAGGCAAGGCGACCACAGGCGAAACGAATTGTTTCGCTCACCAAACGGTTCTTTGAAATGAACAACCACCGTAATCCGGTAAACCCGACGGCAGGGCATCGTGTCTATACTGTGCTACTGTTAAGTTTTTTTCTCCTGCATCCTGCAAGGCATGGGGATGGGGGGGCAGGGCACAAGGAAGAAAAGAATGGTTTCGTTACAAGGGAGGGGGGGGGAGCGCTGCTTCTGCAAGGTGCGGCTAAGTGTGGGCGAGATTGCGGTCCATATGACGGAGGTGGTGTGAGTTTTGGGTTGTTACACACACACATGCAGACACGCAGACACACACTTACACCCACAAACGCACTTACAATGTATGCGAACCGCCTTCCACGGGAACTTGCAGCGGCCTGGGCCCAGCCCTTTTTTTCTTGTTGGATCGGTCTAGACTTTTCCTTTTCATCCTTTTCTTGGTCTAATCCGGGGCGGAGTATTAGCTGTCATGTTCTCACTGTTGCTTCTGGTGGTTCCTGAAGCCGGGGTTATGTTGGAGTACTGGTTGTGGTCAGGTGAGCTCGTATTGTAGAAAGGGCGCCAAAACCAAGAGAACCAGTATAGTAGAAAGACATACGCCGAATGAATGGAATAAGATGGGATAGATTGAGACACGTTTGCCCAGAACCTTTGCCGTCGTTCATCGTCTTGGCGCAGATGTAGCATGCTGGCGATGGTTTTCTGAGATGTGATGGAGGATTAGAAAATGCTTATGTAGTGGGCCTCGGGCAGGGGTCAGCTCCTTAAAAGTAGCAATGTCAAAATCTCTCTCTCTCTCTCTCTCTCTCTCTCTCTGCCTACCTAGTCTAGGTCTGTTCGGGGTTCTTGTACCTCTCAGGCTCTCATCATTATTTCGTGCCAAGCAAAAGGGGTGAACGTGTTCCAGGCCAAGAAAACGTACCCAGCCGCAGATTCACTCTGAATACCAGCCCGCCGGTGCCGCCCTTTTTGCCCACCCCAGAGCAAGCTCGTGGGGGATGGGTCTCGGGCGATCAGTCATATGTCTTGTGTTTGAGGCTGGCTGGACAGCCCGGGTGGGTGCGGCCCTGGAGAACCGGAGAATCCTCCGTGACAATCTCCCGGCTGCCTTTCTCGCCCCCTTTCTGGACTTCTGGGAGCAAATCTGCTTGCTTGAAATTACAACACAACCTCTATGGATTCTGTTGGGGGTAAGATTCTGCCCATGCGGATGAGAGGCAGGTATGGGGAGGGGGAGATTCGGTACGAGGGGACAGTCTCCCGTTTTTCACATACGCTCGATATCAAAAACCAAATTCGGGTCTTGGGAAGTGGTGGCATGTCTCACAGGCTTATCTCGGTATCTATTGCCATTTGGGTCTTCCAACGGACTTCTCCCAAGTCGTCCGTTAGCCACGTGAGGAATTCGAGAGCGTGGACACCTAGTTCACAAGAGACAAAAGATGGGTGCCCCGTTCCGAAATGAGAAGCGAGGGAAAAGCAAAGAAATAGGTACGCTAAAGATGAAGAGATTCATCGATGATCTGATTGTCTAGCCTAATTCAGAGTAGCATTTTCTCAAGCCATACGGGTCTCTCGGTGACAGTTTACGAGACAGGTGTCAGTCACTCGCAAGAAATCGTGTATTGTCACTACTTACTTCCCCAAGCGCCTTGGAGGCCATTAGTGAGAAGGTATTGGAAACATAACGTCTCCCGTTCTGCACCTGCACGTGTAAATGCGATGTGACTCTTCACCTGGAGATGTAACTACTCGGTATTTAATCAAAGTCAAAAGGGCGATTTGCGCTCACTTCAAGGCATGTTGTGTAACGTCTTGGGGATGCTTCGCCGTCAAATGGTTTATTCGGCAAGCAGAAACTCGTGGAGTTACGGCAGAGAAACATGCCGTTGGATCAAGTTTCCCGCCTTGACTGCTAACCGCCTGTCTCTGAGTTGCGCTAGTCCGTAACTTTCTCTCCGGAGCCTAGAGGGCCACTGTAAAGGACCTCCACTTCGATATTTGCTACACAGCTTTTGTATCGAAAGGAGGCAGCTCGGAAAGACAACATAAGGATAGACCAGGTCATCTGCAGGTCGCTTGTCACACGGCCGTACCAAAAGTCAGACTGCATAGACCGCTCTAGATCTCACATCATGGACAAACACATGCTGGCAACTCTTAATCTTTTGGCGCTTCGATTCCCTTGCAAGTTGACTTGCTAGCGACCCCACGAGTTTGTGATGCTCCTTTAGTCTATTACTCGTATCAGCATGTCTCAATGCGACCCTAAACCCTCTGCTGGTTCTGCATGTAAGGAATCTGAGTCTTGCCGTCATGCAGATTCTGATTCTTCCAGATTTGAGACTATGGCAAGCCATCGATCCAGGGTCTGGAAATTTATGATAATTTAAACGTCTACGTCTCCATCAAGCCTCAAGAACAAAGAACCAATTGAAGGACATGCGATTCTCGGACCTGCTTTAGGGGTTTCCAGTATCATCTGACGGTCATAGAACCTAAAGTCTCAGCTAGAACGAATACAAACGGGTAACATACCCATGGGGGGAAACAAAAGGGAGGACTCCAGTCAAAAAACAGACTAGCCTCGAACACAAAGCAAGCATGCATTATCATGCACGTCTTCGGAGGTGAGATGGACGTAACTAGAACCAATCACACAAAACCGCTTAGTTCCAATCAACTTCCTCCCTTTCGTGTAACGGTCTGGACCACCAACCGGACCAACCCCGATCATTGATGATTGGGGAACAAAACTTGTCAGCCGTTTCAACGTGTCACTGCCGTGAACCATTTCCCTTTCTTGCCATACTGCATTCATCAGCCGCAAAACTTAGGTAGGCCTCGGCATGCTGTGGCGTTTGACTTTGTTTGGTATGTTGGCGTGCTGGGTCAAGGGGTTTCGATCTTGGCCTTCGGGTGGTTTGCTCCGGGATCTGGGACTTTAGTTCCGTGTAAGTGGTCTGACTTTTTGAATACGAGAAGAACCCGTGCGAGATGGAGGGAATTTGAAGAGGGATGCAATAGTTGAAAGGGAAGGGTGAAGCTCTTGTCAGACGGCCTCCGATATTGCTGAATGCAGGTTGGGCCTTGCGGTGCCTTAAACGTGGCTGGCTGTATCATGTTTTTCAGATTTCTCAATTTCTCTCGTATTCAAAGTATAGCTGCCTGAAATGCAGTTTGAATTCTTCATACAATTGCTCGCAGGTTCCTATGATCTATTCCCTGTGTCTGTGTCTCAACGTGTTGCGTATGTTCCGGTAGCTCTTGGTGGCCTCCTTCAAAACCATCGTTGCTAAAGCACCACCATGACCACCAACTTCTCTGCTTTCACGGGCTGTCTGAATGTAATCGTCTCTGTCGTGCCCATGCTCTCCAACATTAACAACGATTCTAGCGTATTTAATGAGGATTGCGTTGAGAATGAGCCGGCACATGCGCCCATTGCCATCTCGGAATGGATGAATATTGACGAACCGATCGCAGTACTGTGCAGCTGTTGCAGAAGGATCGAGCAATTGTGATCTTTCAGACGCTATCAAGTGCTGTCGAAGGGTCAGGATCATCGATTTCATGGCCTCGGAGATCTTGTTCGGGCGGATAAATCTGGTAGTGCCCACGAAAACGTCTTCGGCGCGGTAGATACCACCAAACTCTCTGCTACTGAGTATGCCGGCAGCTTCGCCACTAACACCTTTGACGAGTATAGCGTTTGTGTCTTTGATGTTGTTCGGTCATTGGCTTTCCTTCACGGACGAACTGATTGATGATATGTTGAAAAGCAGCAGCATGCTGAACGACCTCTCTCCAGCTTCGAAGAACCTGGTGCTCGCCAGGAGGTACGTCTTTCCGTACTAGAGCTTCAAGCCGAGCCTGGTACTCTTCTGTTCTATAAGATGTTTTAGTAAAATGTCTTCAAGATAGTGCAAGCTGTACTTTTGCTTACCGCTCTGTGTACTCCACGCCAGCCTTGCCTTCGAATATCATCATGCAAAGTTTCATGGTGATATCAAGGCCCAAGCCCTTCCTGGACTTTACATTGGAGGAGTAAATAGCCTCTGCCATCTGTTGCAGGAGAAAACTCGCGATGTCGTCTCCTCCATTTTTGCTTTCCCCAATATGTCTTTCACCTCGTCCATGATTCTGGTAACAACGGAGAAGTGTTCAGAAACGTCGACAGGTCGATCTTCAACTTTGGGGTCCATAGCCCAATTGTCTATATAAACACGGTAAAAACCACTCATTCTCAGAGCAAGGTTTGGATTTCTGCAGAAAAATTCAGAAATTGCATCTCCAGCAATTTCATTTCCAATGGTACTTACTTCGGCTGAGAGCAGGAGCTACTTGACTTCAAGGTTTGATTGCCTCTAATCGTAGGCGGCCAGCTGTATCGAAAGTCCCACGAAGCAGTGATTTCTTGACGCTTGAGCTTGATGTTGACGATCGAAGAACCTCAAGAGAACGGATAGCTTCAGATCTAGACTTCTTCGTCGGGGATTCAGGTTCAATCGAAGAGCCGCCTTTCTCATCTTCACCCAAGCTCATGTTCCCGAAATATCCAATGATGGATTTTCGTTTGGGAGTGCGGACAATGCTAGGGCTATGAGGCGAGCCGGGAGTCTCTGGAGTAGATGCCATGGCGTTTGTTGTTCCGAAAGGTAGTCTAGGGAGTAACCGAACAGCAAATTTCATTTCGTGGCGGAGTAATGTTATCTTATATGTGCATTATCTACGGACTACGTAACAGAGGTAAACTCAACTGATTCATTATATACTACTGATTCAATGCATGAAATTTGGGTCAAGTGATCATTTAGTTTCAGTCTCTGATGAAGAGCATTGCCTTGGAATACAGGGGAGCATGATTGAGCAATTCACTCTCTTACATATTTTCTGTGAACCACTCCTTCACACGATCTCCCGCTTATTAAGGTTCAAATATTTCCCTCAGTATTGCTACAGTAAGTAGAGGCTAAAAAGCAGCGCAATGAAGGATTCACTGTACAGGACCGTCGGGTACTGACTTATTCACGATGTTTGCGTAGAAGGATAAGCAAAGCACATGAGAATCATTCTTAACCTCAAAGTATTTTAATTTGCTCAGACACCTTGAGGACCACCCTTAACCGTGGATCCGCAGAAGTATGGGAACCTTTGCCATCTTCTGAATACGTATCTCCGAAAGGTTAAACCCTCTCGTGTCTACTAAGTTCCCATCTACAAAAAGTCGACCATTCCTCTGAAATGTAACGACTTCTACAGAATCCCAATCAACTCCCCACCCTTACAGAAGGCTTACGTCTCTCATTCCAACCTTGATACAACGCAACTGTCACACCCCCAGCCCGCTCATATCGCTCAACAACAAAATGGCGACTTCCAATATCCGTTTCTTGGTTCTGTCCGACACCCACGACTCTGCCTTCCCTTCGGAGCTCCCTCCGGCAGATGTTGTCCTCCACTGCGGCGATCTAACTATGATCGGCGGCATGTCGAATTACGAAGCTGCCATCAAAAGCCTTTCGAGTTGCGACGCTGAACTCAAGCTCGTGATTCCCGGAAACCACGATGTATCTCTGGATCCCACGTGGTGGGCCAACAACGCAGATGAAGACGACGATCTCGAGGAGCCAAAGAAAGCGATCGATTTGTTCAACCAATCCGGAATCAATCTCTTGAGCGAAGGATACCATGCTTTCACTCTCAAGGACGGGCGTTCCTTCACTCTATATGCCTCGCCTTACACACCCGAGTTCAATGGATACGCGTTCTCATACGGTGCGAACGAAGACAGATTCAACCCGGCCGAAACAACACTCTTAGACCTGAGCAAAGTAGTCCGCGGTCCGAAGCCAATCTCCTCGGAAGTCGATATTATGATCACGCACGGCCCCCCACAGGTCCCAGGCGAAGACTACCGCCTCGATCTCGACGGCAAGGGCGCTCATTGCGGCTGCCCAAAGTTATGGAAGGCGGTTCAACGCATTCGCCCACGACTCCACTGCTTCGGCCATCTCCACGAGGGCTACGGATCCCAAGTGGTTGAATGGCATGCCAACGGGACACAAAGCATTGCAGATCCGGTCATCAAGGAGGGGAATATCATCATGGCGCCGGAGAAGGAGGCTCGCAAGACATTACTCGTCAATGCAGCAATCATGGATCACCACGGCGAAAACAACAACCTCTGGTTGGTGGACTACTAGGGCATGCAACGAGTTTGGTCTTGTCTGGGTGGGGTATGGAGATGAGCAGCTTCAAGGATAAGGTAGCTGAAGGAGATAGGTAAAGGATGGTGCTGAGGTCTTTGGTCTTAGGGATTATCTCACCTCGAAGAAACGCGGCTTCGTTTCGGTCTCGCCGATTTCGGTGGATCATGAGCTGGATACTCTACTCCATGATATCTTATTCGGCATGGCAGTCACAACCACACTGTACCCAAGTTCATTTTCTGGATGTCTTAATACGGTCACTAAACTCACTCATGGCCGTAGCTTCAGCAATCAGAGATATGCATTCTTTGTGTTCAAAAGTCCGTGAATTCCACCATAAGTCTATGTTAATTCCTTCAAATCGTGCCATTTCATTACCCGAAAAGTTCAGGCTCATCCGCAGTCCTATCGTCAGACTTTTCAAGTCGTCATAGATGGGAGCATTTGATTTGCCGTAGGCTCTCGCCACCTTGGCCACCCATTCAAGCTCACTATCGACCCACCCAGCCATCGGCATGATCTACCACAAGTTTACCTTGTCAGCCTTGCCATTTCTTGCTCTTGCGTGTGTCCCAGCTGCTCCCAACATAGGCCGGCTATTGACTCGAAAACATAGCTATTCGCCCAAACAATAACTCACTAATCACACAGGTGTACCGTGAAGCCAGCCTATACACTATGTTTCACCCTTTCAAAAGTCATGAAGGAAAATGCGCAAGGGTTCTTAGAGAGAACTTTGTCAAGCTGTACTTCCATGTGTACTTGAGTCTGAGATAAATTTATATACAATAGATACCCCTGATCTACTAGGCTTCATATTTCACGCATACCTCCAGAGGTACTTAAGTGCAAGCAGTGGACAGACAGATATAATGAATCCCTTATTTCCCTTGGCCTTGTTTGGTATTTGGTGAGTTCATTTGAACCTTACAAATGTGAAAGCTTTGGTCTCTATGACTGTGTGCCATAGTAAGCAGTAGAAACTAAAACATCAGCTGAATCAAATAACTATGTGCCGCCGTAGTATCGGGTAATATCGTAGTCTAGAGACGAGCTTGTTGCAGCGGAATATTCGGTGAAGCTTCTCACCGAGACAGACCGAGGAAGGGTTACCGCACGGCCCACCCCACCTCAGGGCCGTTGAGTCACTCACCTTAAATTTCCAACTCCCAAGCTTGCGACCCGGTTTTGACTCACCACCCCGCGACGAACACAATAAACCCCCCAAAGCGCCCACCCACGCCCTCGCGATCCACCTTAGCACACGATGTCGCAGCAAAAGGGAAAGGCCGCCGCCGGCAAAGGCAAGAAGTCCGGCAAGGCTGGAGGTGAGGGCAAGCGCGAGGATGTCCTGCAGGCTGTGGTAAGTCTGAAGCGTCATGGTGGGGCAGGCATGGTGATAGGTGTTGAATTGGCTAACCTGGTGTCTTCTCTTTTCCCCCATTGCAGCTCATCGCCGACTCCTTTCAAGATAGGTTTGCGCCTTTTTCAGCAGAGAAGCCAAGAGTAAGTCATGATACATGTCCCGGAGCTATGCGACGACGATTAACCGCCCGCCCGCAGTGCCTTCTACCCCTTGCAAACACGCCCCTCATCGAGTATACCCTCGAGTTCCTCGCCATGAACGGCGTCCAGGAGGTCTACATCTACTGCGGCTCCCACTCCGAACAGATCGAGAACTATATCAACACATCGAGATGGTCCCCCATGTCCATCCGAACCCCATTTACGAGCCTGCAGTTCATCCGCGTGTCCGACGCCCGCTCAATCGGCGACTTCCTCCGTGACCTCGACGGACGCGGCATTATGGACGGCGACTTCATTGTGGTCCACGGCGACGTGGTATCCAACATCTCACTCGACGGCGCGCTGGCGGCACACAAGGCGCGCAAGGAGGCCGCAGCGACGAATATCATGACGGTGGTCCTGCGATCAGGGGGCGCGGAGGAGCACAGAACGAAGCCCAACGGAATCAACCCCGTCTTCGTGATCGACTCAAAGACGAAGCGGTGCCTACACTACGACGAGATACATCCTCTCCAGAGCGACCACTACCTCACCCTCGACCCGGCCGTGATTGACGAGCTCTCGACCGACTTTGAGATGCGGGGCGACCTGATCGACGCGGGTATCGATATCTGCACTCCCGAAGTGCTGGCGCTGTGGTCCGAGAGTTTCGACTACGAGCTCCCAAGGCGGAACTTTTTGCATGGTGTCCTAAAGGATTGGGAGCTGAATGGCAAGGCGATCTACGCAGAGGTTCTCGAGGACGGCTACGCAGCGCGCGCGAGCAACCTTCAGATGTACGAGTCAATCAGCAAAGATGTCCTCGGCCGTTGGACATTCCCCTTCGTTCCCGACTGCAACGTCATCCCCGGCCAGACGTACAAGATGACCAGCGGCGCAGTCTGCGTCGAGGACGGAACGGTCATGGCGCCGACCAGCAAGATTGCCAGGTCAATTCTTGGCCAGGGAGCCACTGTGGGCGCCGGTAGCACAGTATCAAACAGCATCATTGGCAGGCGGTGCAAGATCGGCAACAACGTCCGCATCGAAAACAGCTTCATCTGGGACGATGCCGTGATCGAAGACGACGCGGTCATCACGCGCTCCATTCTGGCCGACTCAAGCATCGTGGGCAAGGGCTCCGTCGTCGCCGCCGGCTCCCTCCTCTCCTTTGGTGTCGTCCTCAGCGACAACAGCAAGATTCCTGAGGCCACCGTCCTCGCAGTCACCACACACAACGGCACGCCCGTCAACCCCGACAAGTCACTCGTCGGGCCCTCAGGCAAGGGCGCCCCTTACGTCGACCCAGAGGCCGAGGACATGGACGACGAGGACCCTTCCACCCTCCAACGCTCTCTTCTCTACAACCTCGCTCACCTCAACCTCTCCACCTCGACAATCTCAACCCTGTCCTCCGAAATCGACGACGACGACTCGGACGCCGGTGACGGCATCACCCAATTCTCCGCCGACTCCCGCAATCGCGCAGACTCGTTCGTCTCAGACGATTCCCAAGGCAAGTCGGGCTTCCACCACGACGCAGTCCACGGCCTCCTCGACGCCCTCCGCGCCGAATCAGGCGACTTCGACTCCGCCAAGCTCGAATTCATGGGTCTCCGCCTCGCCAACGACGCTTCGGACGTGGCCATGCGCAAGGCCGTCGCCATCGCCTTCGCCCGACGCGCCGCAGAGCTCCTTGAGCCCGAACATGGCGGCCTCGAGCCCGCAAAGGCCGCCGACAAGACCTTCAACTCCAATAAGGGCGCCTCCAAATTCGTCTCCGAGGTCGGCGTCGGCGGCGGCGAGACGGAACAGGTCGAGTTCGTCCTTGCGCTGCAGCGCGCTCTGCTCGGATGCCGGAACCTCGAGCACGCGCGCGCCGGCGTGCTGCTCGCCGCCATGCTGCAGCAGCTGTACGGCTTGGACGTTCTCGAGGAGGATGGTATCCTGGCCTGGTGGGAGGACGAGCGCGCCGAGGAGAGCGGGGGCGAGGGCATGGCGGCGCTCAAGGAGAAATGCCGGGTTCTCGTCGAGTGGCTGGAGGATGCCGATGAGGAGGACGACGATGACTCGGAAGAGGATGACGACTAGATGTTGGCATCTCGGACTGCGCCTCGGGAGTTGTAAGGGGACCAGCAAGCAAGTGACACAGACAGAGAGAGAGAAAGAAAGAGAGACAGAGGAGGAAAACGGACTCGAACCATCAACGGGGTTTATATGCCTGGCGTAGAGAGTGGATGGCTTGCATAGCGCAGATTCATACTGCAGCGGACTCGCAAGCAGGTCCAGCAGGACTTGGCCAAAAAAAGTTACGGTAGAACACGAATCAAAGAATACGTTAAAACAGTAAAATCAACCCATCAACTCATCAACGTCATCTAATGAATGTCTCAAAAAACCAAACATTACAGTCACGTCAGAGATAGCGGAAAGAGTTTGAAATGACTTGCTTGTATTGCAAGACGACTAAAAAGGTATCATATCAAAAAGCATAAAACCCTCCAAAAACGCCGAGCTGAAACCTGGCCCAGAAAGATGTGAAAACTCCAGCCCATCCATCACCTTGTGACCCCCCCGACTTTTTGTTTTTCTCGAATACACAGCAAGAACCTAAAAGGTCGCGTCGACCGCTTCCGCGCGGCAAGTGTGCGAGGTTCACTTAGCAGACTCATCTCCGAGACTCATTCTTCTAGTAATAGTTCTGGAGATCGTTGCTGTTGCCGCCACCTCCACCACCTCCGTAATTACCGCCGCCGCCGCCGCCGCCCATGGGACGACCAGCTGGGCCCGTTGGGGCGTTCGGCGGAGGACCTGAGTTCCACGCGCTAAGCGGAGGTTGGTACTGTTGCTGTTGGCCCCCCTGGAAGCTGCCTTGCTGCTGCGCCGGGAGGGATGGGTAGCTGTTGTCATCATATTCGACAGTCTGTCCGTAACCTCCCTGCTGGTTCCGGGGCTCGACGTCGTCGAGGGAGCGGTAGCCGTGCATTCCACGTCCGCCGCGGCCGCCCTTACCATTGCCACGGCCTCTGCCACCTCTTCCTCCACCGCCGCGGAAGCCACCACCGCCGCCACCACGGCCACCGCCTCCTCGTCCAGAGTGGAAGTCGCGGCGCTCATTGCGGCCGTTGTAGGGGTTGTGTCGGTGGTGGTCGCGTGAGTAGTCACCGCCGTCATGTTTTCGCTTAGAAGACTTGTTGGCGAAGAGCGATTCATACTCGTCTTCGCGGGGGTCCTCTGGCTCGATGCGCAGAATCATCTTCTCTCCGACCGTCGTCTCGAAGGTCATTGCCTTATCGGCGGGGATAGGCTGCCAGTTCTGGATCTTGCCGGCATCCACGGGGCGGGCGCCCTTGCGGAGGGCGAGAACAACGAGAGGCGACGGATTATCCGTGTGGAACTTCGCGGTGGCGGGGACGGGTCGGAGGCTCGCTGCCCAGATGCTATTCTCAAAGCACGCTGTACCTGTGACCTCCCACTTCATCTTGCTGCCCATACCCCCAACCTTTTCCAGGATGCTAGCCGGGCAAGGGCGCGGGCAGATAAGAATGTTGTTGGCGTGGAACTTGAGCTCCTGCTCGGGCAACCCAGAGGGAATCTGGGCCATCTTCATCAACTGCGCCGTATCTTCCTTGCTGATCAAGTAGCCTGTGAAATAGACAGTCTTCTTGATCCTCAGTCGTTGCGGGCGAACGTCGGACGATTGCTTGCCAATCTCCTCGTTGTGAAGGTTGATCATATGCTGCACCTCAGCAACCTCCACCACGGGGTCCAGGGTTGTTGACATGTCCGCGACTTGGACGACCTCCGCCGTAATGGGGCCGCGTGTGCGAGTAGCATTGATATTCTGCTTGCGATTATACTCCGTCATGAAATCTCTGAATCCCTTGACGTGCTTCGGACGATCCTCGTAAATGCGGATCTCTTCGGCGTTCTTGTACGTCTCCATAACCGCGGTGAGGAAGAGCTGCTTAAAGTGCATCGTGCTCGAAAAGTTCTGGTTCGTCGGGCTGACGGCAGGCTTGAGCCCGACCATGTCGAATTCGAGCCCCTTGCTGTGGATCATCCTCTTGATGAGCTCCCCGAAACCTCGCTCAGAGCGACCCGTCAGTAGTACGCACAGAGCGTCCTTTTGCTTGACGCTCAGCTTCACTAGCTCGACAATCTTCTCATTCCACCAGCCCTCCCACGCGCGCTTCTCTTCCGTGTCGGCGCCCTCGCCTGTCGCTGAGAGGATTCGGGAGTCGTGCCACCAGCCGCCGTTGCAGATGACGTCTTGACTTGACAGCACGCCGATCGTAGGACCGCTCCATAATGCGGGGTTCGGCAAGGGAGTTTTGAAGACTATGGACGTCAGACAACGTTAGCTTTGGATTCAGTCAATGGGCGAAGCCATCACGCCAGGCGGGAGTGTAAGGATGGCATCCTTACGTGTGTTGTCAAAGTCGTAGATGTGCAGAGCCTTGATCTTGTCGACGACGGGCAGCTGTGTCGTCGCGATGCTCCATCTGCTCAGTGCAGTCGTCGTCGCAGAGGATGTCGAGTAGGCCGCCTTAGCAGAGCCATTGGCGTATGCGGACGTCATGACTCGGCGGGTGAATCTGGAAGCTGCCAACATGAATGTTGACCAGACTTCGAAATTCCGAGAGAGGTAGGAATTGTTCAAAGAGCGGGTCGTCGATACAGTCGCGAACGCGCAGAACCAGGGCAGTGGCTAGGGGACTCGAGCTTTGCTACAGTGGTAGGTGCGACCGCGGCTTGTGCCAGTAGGAAGTTTTCCTAGCCGTTGGCTTTGTGGGGCTGGCCCGTCATTAGGGGAGGCAAGTCCCTGGAGAGCGCTGCTACCCGTCTGGGCTTTTGTGGCAGGCTGGCTGGCAGCTCCTGCCATTCAAAGCAGTTTTCGCTTATGTCATCAGATGATGGGCTGGTTAGATAAGCAAACCTCGTTGACTTTGGATGCAAACCGCAGCCTTCCCAGCTTCCTACCTTATTACTTTAGCATTATGTAATTGATTGATAGAGAGTAAACATTTAACGCCGGTAACTATATAGATGGTTGAGATATCTCCCTTTGACGAATACTTATCAAGCTCAGGGAACAAAGTCCGGCGTTACTTTTGGTGCACCTGGACGTCTTCTACGTACTCCGTACCGTTGTTCCCAATATTCCCCGTCCGCCCCACATCCGGTCCCGAAGTGTGGCGAAGTGAAGACGCCAAAGCCGGTGAACAGTTTAGGACTTCTCTCAGTCAAAGCAGTTTCGCCTCCCCTCCCAATCCGACAGCAAATTTCCGAAGAACCTGATGATTAAAAAGTACTTGGAATTATGTGTGATTGAACTGGCAGAGTAAGAGCTAGGGTGAAAGCTGTTGCTGCCAAATAGTGCGCTTGGCACTTTAAGGCAACAACTCTGCTCATTCTCCCGAAAGATGCCGTTCGAGCAGAATGAGTACCGTGTTTAGTATCCATCAAGAGTGAGATGGAGTATCCGCTCACCATCCAAAATAAAGAAGAGATTTGATGATCGAAATATCTCGCGGATGTAATTTCGTAACTGGGAGTCGAGTGTGTGTGAGTGTGATCGTAAGCTCGTGTATTTACCAAGAACTGAGGAAGGAACGATCTGTCAATAGTAGCAAAAGCTCACGAAAGCTTGTCCACTCAAAATGGAAGATGATGTTTGCAAGAGGCAAGATCCTGATTCACAGATGACAGTTTCTCTTATTTTCTCATTTTTTTGCAGTCCCGGCTAACCAAACCCTGGTCAGATTCGTGCCTCTTACCAGCACTTGCTTCCGCTGAACCACCATGAGGCGAGGTCTGCCAACGACCATTTCGTCCACTTTAGAGTTTTCGAATCCTTCCTCATCTTCGAGGCGTCTCTTCTCTCGCCGTCCACACCTCTTTGGATATCATCTTCCTTCCTCGACTCTTCCATCTTTGGTGCTCTCTCGCAAATCCTGTGTTCCCGTTTCCAAGCGAACATACAGAGACCATATTCCTGGCGTGTAAGTTCCAACATTGACGGCTCCCAACATAAGAAAAACATGTTTTGAGGACATACAGGCCCCTTTCGTCCATAAAATATCGGACATTGTGAACAGGAAAAAAGACGAAGAAAATAAGCAAGACCGGGGAGATTTCCCGTACCATAACGCCAAAAAAGTAACCGAGTGCCTTTCCCATGGGTATTCCATGCCGCCTTTTGTGGCCCGACCGATGCAATGCGTACTCTAAAAAGTTATGCTCATGAACCAGCCAGGGTCCCATCATCATATCATACCACTTTCGCTTGTCGCTCTTTTGGACACTTCTTCCTCATTACTTCCATCAATGCTTCGTGTCAAAATACACGGTGTGGTATGTCAACTACAATGTCGGATCGATGGCGCCAGTGTCGGACTGCTCGCCAAAGTCCAGAAAGGCGTCCCAATTGTCGTTAACGGGGCCTGGGGTCGCGTCATCGCTTGTGGACTCCTCAAAACGAGACGCGTAAGGGTTCACGTGTCCGTTGAAATACTCGTGCGAAGAAAGCGTAAGCTCATTCAAGTGCTGCTCATGTTTCAGGTCGGCCATTGAATGAGTGTCTGGATAGTACATCTGCTGCTGCAACGGGTTGCCCATGAACATTTGAGCCATCGGGTCGTTCATGTCCAAGTTGGGTACCATCATCTTCGCATCCATAGGCAGCTCGGCGGTAAACGACGACTCGGGGGAAAAGAGACTGTGGTCGATTGTAGTCATGGGCGAAGGGAAAGTCGAGGCAGTTCGCGTCGAAGGGGTGCCAGCAGCAGCGTCCGATGACGGTGACAGAGCTGGCGGCGACTGGGGATGATCACGCGCAACCGGTGTGGCCATATCCATGGGCGACGCCACTGACTGTGTTCTCTGGCGTTGGTATCGCTGAGTCTCGGGCTGAAAGTTTACTGATGAAAAGGTTGGTGACATGGGACCGGTGACCGCTTGTTCGGCCTGAGTGGGTTGCGACATCGACAGCGAACGTTGCCCGGGGACGGAGTACATCGAGTTGGTAATGTTACGAGACAGAGCCTGGGCTTGCTTATTGGCGTTTGGGAACTGCTCTGCAAACATCTTGTTGATCGGGTTTTGAGCCCACTCCTCGTTACGGAGCCCAGCCACCATGCTCGCCATAGCTACCCTGTTTGCCAAAAAGGCATTGACGCGATAGTCGAACTCTGGGGAGCCGGTCTGAAGGTGAGCTGCCAGCATTCGGTAAGAGCGAGGCATGTCATCCTCTTCCTCTTCATACATTTCCTCGGCCTGCACAATCGCTTCGGAGATCTTGAATCCCTTGCCGGTGCGCTTCTTGTGAATCTCGCTCGCCATTTTGGCGGACTGGACACGAGCTTCGATACTACGGTCCGCCCGCCGCGACGCGGCAATGTAAGCGCGCTCTTGGTTCTCTTCGTGAGATCTCTCCGTCTGCGTGTGAATGGTCAGCGCTTGGATCCGATGAAATGGAAACTTTCTTGTGGCGAGTCAAATAAATTCCTGGCATGCCGTGTCTTCCCGGTGTGGCAAATACAGCTAAACTGGGAGGGAGATGTTCATGGATGATTTGTTAGGCAAGAGATGAGGACTGATGCGGACAGAATAATTGAATAGAATATCACAGCTTAAGCTGAAGTTTCGTACCTTCTTCTGTGCCCGTTCAGTCTGCATGGTCGGCGACAGGTTGCTAGCGTCCAAGGATCGCTTCGGCATTTTCGTTGACGTCGAGGACTCGGAGATTGACGAGTATTATAGATAGTTGAGTAGTAATGGGGTCAAAGGTGGCTTGGCCAGAGAGGTAACTGATGCGGGGTGCAGTAATATATTGGAAGCTTCTATTCACTTGCGGTGATGGGCTTCGTTGTGGCTAGAACCTTGAAGCCGGAACCACCTAATATCGCGATGAGGCTGGTCGAGACCTAGTGTTTAACTCGAGGATATAAAGGCGTGAGTCGTACGGGTCTATCGTGATGTCCTAAGACGGTTGCGTTTTCTGAGGGAGCTTGTCGGTCGAGGGACCAAAAGGGTGTGTGTGTGTGTGTGGAAGTTAGGGAGGCAAAGTGTGGAACAGGGCGGTATCCAAGTCTTATACAATCCAAGGGTGCGTGCTCGGGAGAAAGGACTGGGTATCAGTCTCGAGGTGCGGAGCAGCGTGGAAGGAAAGAAAAAGGCAGTGAACTGGCTGGGCGTGCGGTGGAACAGAGTACAACCCGGAGCAATGTTCCATGCATGGGGGAGGGTTCAGTCTGGGCGGGCGAGATGAGAGAAAGAGAGAGAGAGTGTGTGTGAGAAGGTACTGCTGGGGGTACATCTGATGCTGGGTTACGGAGTACTGGATTGACCAGACAGATGGCGGCCGGATAGATGTGACCGGGGGCATGGTACATGGGGGAGGGGTTAGGTTCGTTATTCTGAATGGCCGACCTGTTGCTGTTGCAGTGCGCGAGAGAGCGAGATGGGAGCTGGACTAGGTAGGTACGCTAAGAACACCTACATGGGTTGGGCGCTGGGAAATGCGGTGTTGCTGGCTGTGCTGCAACTGGGGCAGTTCAGCACAATTGGCAGAAAGAGAGACGGCGAGCGACGGCAGAGTGAGAGGGGAAAGGGAAAGTGGCATCTCGACTGCTTTCGATCGCTAGACGATCTTGGAGGGTTTGATCGGGTTACGCTCTGTTGATCGATCTCGATGAGAAGGGACTGTGTGCTAGGCCGACGCCCGTGGAGCAAAGTACCCCAGTAGTCACTCTTCACTCTATCGAATGGAAGGAAAGGACTGCCCACTCTCTCTGCTTCTCCTTCCATTTCCCCCCTCTCTTCTGATCTCTGACTGACTGTCTCCTGCCGCCCGCCCTCGTACCCTACTTCTTTTGGATTAGCGCCGGGTCGTTTGGAAAGATGGCAACCACGGTTTGGTTATTGTGGTTGGTTGTGTTGGCAGGGGCTGGGTTCACGGCTAAGGCAGTCACCAGTGATTGAGGGATTGCAACTTTTTTGGGAAGGCGAAGCCTCCTCCCATCCTCAATCATTCTTCCTCCTTTCTATTCTCCATCTATCACCACAGTCTCTCACTTGTGTTATCGATACATATTCTTGACGAATTCATCCCTTCCAGTACATTCTATATTCAGATACTTCTGTTAAGCTCAAGATCGCAGCGGGACGTGTATGGGAAGAAAGGCAGGAGCACCAAATGTCTCGAGGGCCGCAGGGCAGGTGCAGATGCAGCAGCAGCTGCTGCATGGGGTGGAGCTTTGGCCTGAGTGGGGCGATCCCAAGCTCGGGCTTTCGCCTGTGCCACATCCCCACCCGAGTGCACCCAAGTGCAACCGACAGGGCGGGATCAATCCCCGGGCCATAAGCTCCAGGCCTTATCCCGGTCGCGACCTGTGAGAGAGACTCGGAGACAGAGAGCTTCTTCCCAGTGGCCCAATCTTCCACTGTCATTTTGGGCAGTTCCGCATCGATTCCTCTTGCGACGTCGGAATAATGTGAATACACCAGCAGCTACGCAATGATTGTCGAAACAAGTGGTAACTGGGACGATGCGCTGGTGAGGCTTCCTCATACAGTTCAGAGTATCCGTACCATAGTAGGTAATCGTGTGTCCGATACATTTGTAAGCTGTCCGTAGTGGTTTTCGCGCAAAGAAGGTGCTTTGCAGAGGAAGGCGGGAGCGTCCTTCCTCGAAGCCCATGTCCTTTCCCTAGAATCCTATGATTCCATGCACCCTGTTCCTTCCTGTCTTCCCCTTGCCTAGATTCGCCATTGCGGCAAGAGACATTGTGTACGTATACTTTCTTTTCCTTCCTGCCCTCTGCCAACTGTACTCCGTATACAAGCAGGTAATAAACAAGCAACCGCGTTGGCGGACAGAAAGAGAAGGCCGGAGGGTGGGAGGAAGTTTCTACCTGGGAACTTGACGGGAGGGAACTATCTGTACTTCGTACCTCAGACGCGAGAACCTAAGAGAATCGACAGGCAGGAGACCGGGATTCAACGCGGCCTTCTGCAACCATCTCGGACTGACAACGGCAACCTTGACAACCACACAACCACATCGACCGGCTTCATCTCGTCCCTCGATTTGCGCAACCTACCTGCAGATGTGCTGTTTCTCTCTGTGCCTACGCAGTATGGTCGCTGTGGTGGGTGGCGGGTCCAGAGTTGTCGCTCGGGCGAAACCTTTGGGTGCCAGTCGTACCAGCATTCCCAACTCGTCAAACTCTCTTGTCATGCTAAAGTCTAAAGACGCTTAGCAATGCTGCAGCCCGCTGCTGGTTTTGTCCGGCTGCATAGTGTCTTGTTCAAGACAATGGATGTTGCCCATCGGCTGCATCTCTGTCCGGTATCTCTTAGGTCCATCCCAAGAGTTGGATCCCAACTTTCTCTTGGCTGTCTTGACATGCCTCAGCCAATCCCATGTGAATGGTTCGGTTACTTTGAATAGTTCGCTCACTACGCGACTACTATACGGCTACTCTCTGGCATGTCACAGCTGATAGCTCATCATCTCACCGATATGCGTGGGCGATTGCACCACGGCGTACGGTGTAGCGCCTCCACAGCAAACTAGATTCCGCAAACATGCGCGAGCTCAAGACAAGAGAGCCAGGGACCGGTCAATATTCCACGAGCCCTGCGGTGCTTTGCTCTGCATCCATGTACGGGGCACATTGCTTCGAGACACGTCACATCCACAACTTTGAACTTTTCACTGCCCCGCTGACAGACCGCGTCCTTCAACCATTGACATGAACAAATTTGTACGGCGCGGTTGGCTTCGGAAATTTTGCCAGGAGTACACTCCGTGGCCTCACCGCCAATAAGTCCAATTCAGTCGAGACAAAATAGCTTCGCTACGAGGTGCCAACATGCTGGGCTTGTATCAGTACCTACGACCACAGCGACCTCGAAACTTCGTCTACTCGAGTCGTCCCACGCTCGACTTTTTCTCTCAATTTAATTGAGAGGCCGCTACCACTAGCTTTCTCAGCAAGACGCAGCTGGCGTGTGATGGTGATGGAAAAATGCATCCCCGTTCAATCGATTGGACTCGTGGCTGAGGCAATAGGCGTACAGTGTATGTACTGCATGTAATGTCTCTGACGAACGTGAAGCTGTCGACCTCATTCGAGTCTCAAACCTATTAAATCCGATCTCACTACGGATAGGCTGACATACTGTTGCTTGGTTCGCGGTTCCCAATCCTATCATCAGTGGGATGAGATACCTAGCTGTTGACTGTACCTTAGTCTCTGGTCGCTATAGTGGTATAGTACCCCGGCCGAATACCTCGACACTCGGTGCTAGAATCTCTCCGCGTCCGCAATTCGGAAAGAAGGGTGGGTCCGGTAGCATGGGGCGACTGGCGACAGCGACGATCGATCCCCAGGGTCCGATGCCGAGTACTAGGGGCCCCCAGCAAGATGGCAATGAGAATTGACACGCTGCCACGCTTCGATACACCGATCGGAACATTCTGGCACCATTATTACGGATGTTTAGCAGGCGAATGCTCTCTTCAGAAATAACAGGGTCGCGAGCGAGTAAAGCAGTCAGGTCTTAATGACAGTGCCAAATCATTCTAAGTGTACTAGTCGACAGCAAAGGAGGCCATCCTGCCTTGCAAGCAGATCCCAATACAAGACGAAACCACTTGCGATAATGTCTCCTGCGAGAATTGCACACTGCACGATGGTTGAAGCCGTGTGCTTTTTGACACAGTTAACCAAGCCGGTGGGGAGAGCATCGTCCCAATCTCCCACCTCAATATCGGTTCACCTCGCGCTTCGCAGGTTTCGCAAGACCGACCCTTTACGGAAGATGTGCCACCAGGGTCACGCCAACAGACGGGATGGCTGCCCCCAACTTACGCTCTGGGAACGTGGCATTTGCAGGTGCCTTGTTCGCAGGCGGTAATTGTGGCACACAAATGCGTTAAATCCGACCATCCATGGCCCGCTCAGTCTAACTCTAGGAAGCTGTGATGTGCACGCAGATTCTTCGAGAGGGCCTGGACTCTTGTCGGCGGCAGCCAAAAGTTTGCCAATTACCTATGGGCACAACATCGGTTTACCTTTTGACAAGGTCTCCGACTCTTGCTTCAGAAGTTCAAAGAGTGATAACATTCATTCATGAGCCAAACGTACGAGGAAACCTACTTTCGTACATTCCCAACCTTGGATTATGTCTCCTTCTGCTCGAATGGTCTCCTTGGACATCACATGTTGGACGGAGCTTTGGGCACTCGATTATTTGCATATGTGCAGCAGAGTTGCACAGCAAGCAGGGGCCAACTCAGAAGACCTACTGGGACACAGGCCACGATAACACTCCAGTTGACAAGAGCCCGCCAGTGAAATGCTCTTCCCGTCGCGCCGTCTTACCCCGCCGCCGCCGTGGCCAACGCGAGGGATGGTGGTGGTTGCTTCTCCAAGATTACGTCTCCACGAATGTGTGGTTGTGCACTGCCCCTCGCGTACCGAATTCTTGGTTGCAACCTCAGCGGATGGCTTCCAGCTGGTTCGCCAGGTCAGACAAGTCTAACGACGCTGCTGATCGCGTCTAGTACCTAGGTATCAGTCTCGGGGGCGTCTACACTACCGAGTACTACTCATCCAATCTTGCGAACGTCACTTAAGCCTAGGCGGTACTTTTTTTTTCGCCAATTTCTCTGGGTTTTCTCCCCGCCGGACTGGAGTCGAAGTTGTAAAATGCTCCCAGAGATCTAAAAATTGACGTCACATCAAGATAGATCAGCTGCTTCAAACATTCAGTGGACGGTACTGGGCTGAGAATAGCGGTTGCATTCCGTTTTTGGTGAGTTCTGCTCGCCTGCGGGTTAGCTCTGGCTCAAGCGCTACGGTACATGGACGACAAAGTTGAGACTTACCAGTATCAAAACGACTGGCGTTGCTCGACGTTGGGACGGAGCAATCTGTCCGCGCGCCACTAGCTCGCTCGTCTTCTCTGGTGTGTGAAACGGATACTTGGAGTTACAACAGGACCATGGCAGACCCCTCGAGCGGGACGAACCTCTCTGAGACCAATCAAGAGGCCACGGTCCACGACCCGGCCCCAGCAACTCTATGCTCCTCATTCTACATTCACGCCATAGAGTGGTGATCTACAACCCATGGGGGCACACTTCGACACCGGGTTTCTGGACCCAGGCGAGCCTACTACCGTACTCACGCCTATCCGTACTTTGATCAAGTTAGATAGTCACATAATCAAAGGGATTGTAAAGAACGACGGCATACAGATACAGGGGCACCTACGCCGGGTAGCACGCTATTCTGATCGACCTTCTGCCACAGCGGGGCAGCGGGTAGTATGTCGACCCGCCTACCGACCTCCCGTATGGGAATCGACCATGAGAAATGACATATCTTTGTCGTCAGACATTGAGGTTCAGCCGACACTGTCCACCTATCTCTCATGGATGGTTCTGCTTGCTGTAGGTTGCTTACGACCTAGCCGTGGAACCATGCTAACCAACGGACTTTCCTTGTCGACAATGCCGTTGCTGCATCTCGAAACCCCACGAAAGTCCATTCGGCCGCTGAAGCAGATGCTTCAACCTGCCGAGTCTGCGAACAAGCCTTCGAACCACACCCTTTCCCGTTTCCCCAACTGCCTGTTTCCAGTGGTTTGTGGCGAAACAACGAGAGACACTCGACTCCGTCCCATCTGACTCTCATAGACGCACACGCCCAGCGAGGGGTCGCCCCTTTTCGAACTCGCGATACACAAGGGGGCGATCGAGGTTTTCGGGCACTCCCATGCCCCGCAAATTGCCATGGTATGAACCATGGGATTCTGCTCCCCCCCCCCCCCCCGTTTTGCTGTGTAGCGACCCTCAGCTCTTCGTCATGGCAGTATGCACCATCGCTCACCTTAATCATGGCACATCACAGGAACATCAGCTTTACGACATTGCCATAAGAGGCATTCTCAGTCACCTCGACGGTTATTGCGGAAAGTATAAGGCTCGACGCAGCAGTGCAGGTGTTCCATCTCAGTTCGCAGAAGAGTTTTCTTGATGGAGCCAAGACCGACGTTGAAGATGCAAAATAATGTCCACGTTCGTTTCTAGATAAGCGAGAGATCGCGCGCTGACATCTCATGTTCGGAGCCGTGACGGCGAATCGACCTTTTCGCCTCCTACCCCGGATCCTGATCTCATACATTTGATTCCAAATGCTCCTTGCTCCTTTTGTGAGTCAGCATAAATCAGAAACGGCCACCAACGCCGTTGAAGACGCCCCGCCTATTGGCTCTGCCGGGCAAGGCCAGGAGGCCAAAGCCTTGCGATCAGGCGATCGTTGATAGACGTCGGCAGATGGCACTGGCCGGAATTGCACGCCGAGGGGTGATTGAAAGATTCTTAAACAGCGGGGAGTAGCGCCACGTTCCTGAACCCTGACGTAAAGTCTCGCGGGTCGCTTGGAGGCTGGATGCGCAAGGAGCGGGCACCAAGCACGCCCGCGGAGACGGTTCACTGGGAAAGTGGGAATGCAGTTGCGGACGCCCTATTACATACAGCTACGTTGGACTGACATTGCAATCTCCATGGAAGAATGCGATGTGCGCTGCCGATGAGAGAACCCTGGAAACCGGCATACCGGATATAACTCAAGATTTTGGGCAATTCTTTCAGATATGGCACTTTGTCGGCCAGAGAGTATTTGAGCTGCGTTAGCGGCAACATTCTATTTGTGCATCAACACAACACCGGTCGCAGCCAGTGTTCCGACGATGCACGACATCCACTGCATCTCGATTCCTCACCACGTGGTTTGCAACTCGGCAAAGACACTATCGCGAAGAAAACAACTCAATCGTACTTGTCCGGATACTCTCGAGAGTGTCCGGGTCCGCGGACAAAAGCTGCAAGAGAGGATGCATCGTGATGTCTAGACACGCTACCATGCCAGAGCTTCCTCTCTTGGCTGGCTTCGGGAGGCTTGTAGTACTATTCAACGCAACTAATGAGAGGGGGACCTTAACCGACAGGCTGGCTCAGCCGCTAGTGCTCGAAGAGAACAAGGAAGCCTACGCAACTGCTCAGAAATCTCGATGGTGGCTCAGACAGCCGATGACCGCCTGCGCAAAATCCGTTCCAGCTTGTCTCTTTGGCACGCCAGTTCTTCCAAAACCACTTCGGGCTGGGACAAGTCAAAAGGGCCATCCACCGGGATAGGAAACCAGCGTTCCAGACGCTCGCTCAATTATCCGCCAGCCACTACCCGAGCCCCTGTCGTTAGGGAGACACTGCGTACTCAAACCAGAGACATCGTGCCATTTCAATAATACGGCCAGAGTGGTGCGGATTGCTCGCCCACCATCTATCAATAGTCGGTGCCATGCAAGATGCCGAGGGCACTCTGGAAGGAGATCCTGCTTATGCTGTGCTACGTGCGCAACCAGCCCGAGGAGCCGGGTGAGAGGGTTTACTAGCAGTCCTGCAGACTCATCGGGCCGCCGGAACGAATAGGTGTCGTGGCTGGACTTGCGTTCGGCCCTGGTTCTGACATCCTACCTTGCGGCCGGATAGCCTGTGGAAGCCAAGATGCTTCCAGGACACTGCTGATACCGGCCAAGCCTTAGTGGAACGCATGCTGTCTGCTTCGCCCGCTTTCAAACATCCCAGCAGTATTATGGTAAGGTTGGGTCTTCTGAGGCTTCAATCAACATTGATAGTACCTCTCCGTACGGACTGTGGATTTCAAATTTTCGGCCCTGTTTCTCATTCAACCTGTTCTAACTCAGTCCTAGTTTTTCATCGTTTGTTCTGTTGTTGTGTTGTTCTGCAGATTCCGCAAGTTCCCTTACCAAGATTAGGTGAGCGCACGGCCTAAGTAAGCCTTGAGCCGTCCCTCCCCGATTTCCAAAGAAATCCACGAGAATCGGGCGGCAGTGCTCATGAAGGGTCTTCTCTGGATCCCTGTTTCCGATTCACACGACATGTTCGCAGATCGGACGGCGGGCCCCGGATTTCGCGATCCCCTCAAGTTCTGCAGGGCAGTCCGCATCGTGGCATGGCCAAAACAGGGCTCCCCGGCCCCTCGAACTGGTCTCTTTGTTGGAGCGATCGAAGCAGTCAACGTACCATCGGAACATTCACAGCCCCGATTCTAACGTTCTGGGACGTGGGCCAGCTACGTTCTTCTGGATCGGGAGCAACGATTTCTTAATCTAGCCCGCCGAACACCCCCCCCCCCCCTCAGCCCTGCATCTACCAGACGAACGCTTGACCGTCTGCCAAAGTTCACGATCTCGTGGGAAATTATCACCAACGGCCTGCATCGTGTTTTCTCGGCGGTGCCATTTCGACCCGCTGCCGCTAATTATCACCACTTGGGGTTCCCACCAACGATGGGCCAACCTGCAAAGAGGGTTCCTCTCTCCATCGCAAAGGCTCGGGAAGGTAAGGGGATCGGGTCATGCCGCGATTCAGGGTCCCGATTGTATTGAACTCCTCGATGCGACAGTACTCTATGGATCGCGCCCACTGCGCTGCGGCACTTTTCCTGACCAACACTAACACTCTGAGTGGAGACGATATCTATACAGATCGTGTGCTTCAAACGCGCGTGACAGGATTTTTCTCCCGGGCTCGACTATTGACGCCATTCGCTTCGTAGTTGAAGTCGAGTTCTGGTGCAAGCGCAAACAGGAAGCAGAACGTCCTTGTTTAAGCGCTCAGATGTGGCAGCGGTCGCTAGGCGATCGGCCCCCACGCTTACTGCGATGCCCTCGTCGTTACGCGATGCTCCATTTTGTTTGGGAAGACTTTGATCGCCATGGGAAAGCAGCAAGGTCTGTTTTCTAATCCAAGCGCGACGGAAAGATGACGAAACTGAGCCATGACGGGCAATGTGCGCGACCTCGTTGGACTGACAGCCAGCTCTGACATGCCGTCAGTGCCATGGGCGCCTCGACCAAGACTAGTAGATGTTGCGGTTATCGGTTGTTTTGGCCATTGGTACTTTCCGCCCAAATGGAGGCTCTCGTCAACGTTTGAGTTGCGCATAGATTTCCCAGGAAAGCTCTGCGGGCCGTTGCACGTTGATTGGTGATGCAACACTTTTCGGTTCGCATCCAAACCCTCTCTGAAAGCTCAGGAATGGTTCGCTCGAGTGGATTCATCATATTGATCTGTCGGGAAAGAGACTGGCCGGTTGAACACTCTTCTCGCAATTGACGCCCAGCACTATTATTCGAACTAGTACTCCGATATTGCACCGTTGATGGCTTAAAAATTCAAATGGACTTGCCTGTCGGCTCGCGTCTTCAATCATTGCTGTTGCCCCGAGACAAGGGTATCTAGAAGGATCGTAATTGCTACGCAGGGGTTGCATTCCTTATCATGAGCAAGCGAACCTGAATCTTTCCAATAAAGCGATTTAAGAGCGAAGAGGCGGTCGTCCGTCGCATCGGCTTCGATTATCAAGCTTCAATGGATGAAGATGGGCAAGATGCTGCCAGAGTCGGACAGATGATGGCGGACATTCGAACCTTTTGATGAATTTCGGACAATTTCGAGGCACGTTGAGGCGGCTTCTAAGGCGTTTTAGGAGACGGTCCATTCGACCGAAATGCAAAACCCTGTGGGATTCTCACGATGTCTCGATCCAACGTTTCTTCGTGTGACTCATGGGAGGAGATGGCTGCAACAAGACAACAAGACGGAAAGCGGAGGACGCTTGAGAACCCCTCCTTTCGGGAATACGGGCAGGCACCCGTCGAGTTCCACGACGTCGGATATCCCTCGTCTGGCGGTTAAAAAGGACACAAATTCCGGGGCAGCACCTCTTCAATCATCTTGCCAGTCGCGATCCAAAGCTACTACTCCCAGAAATCCTCGCTTCCGACGAGAGAGCCATCCCGTTCTCTCCAACATCCCGCCATAGACAGCACAACAACGCAAAACGCAAAGTCACCGCAACCATGGCACTACGATTTGACCCAGAGTACCAAGCCGCCATCACCGCCAGAGACAGCGACGGCGGAGGTCCCGCCCCGCCGGCACCCTTCAAAGACGCCTTTGAGCTCCGCGCCTTCTCGGAGCCTTTGCTTCGCACCGTCCTCTGCGCGCAGCCGGCGCCGGACAACGTCCTCGAGACCCGTATCCCGTTCACCTCGCACGACGGGCAAGAGGTCGGGCTCTGCCGCTTCGCGACGCAGGAGATGATTGACAGCTCCGAGCCCCTGGCCGCCGTGGTATACGTCCACGGCGGCGGGATGGTCTCGTGCGATGTCGACATCTTCAGCCCGCAGATTAAGCGATTCGTCGAGATGGTGGAGATGCCGTTCTTCGCAGTGGATTATAGGCTCGCGCCAGAGTTTCCTGACGGGCTGGGCGCCGAGGACGTGTATTACGGGTTGAAGTACCTCTCGGAGAACGCTGTGCGCTGGAACGTGGAAAGCAGCAACATCGTCATCATGGGCGACTCAGCGGGCGGCGGGCTCGCGGCGGGCGCGACGTTGATGGCGCGGGATAGGGGTCTGACGCCGCCGCTGCGGAAGCAGGTGCTCGTGTACCCGATGCTCGACGACCGGACCTCGATATCGGAGAAGGCAGCGATGTACCCGTTCCTGGCGTGGAAGGCGCACGACAGCGTGCTTGCGTGGCGGGCGGTGTTGGGGGATAAAGCTGGGGACCCGAGGCCTCACGTGGAGGCCGGGATCTCGTTGTATGCTGCGCCGGGTAGGGCTTCGGCGGAGGAGTTGAGGGGACTGCCAAGGACGTATGTTGATGTGGGCGGGCTGGATTTGTTCCGGGACGAGTGTGTTGATTTTGTGAGGAGGCTTTGTGAGGCTGAGGTGGAGGTTGAGTTTCACTTGTGGCCTGGATTGCCGCATGGGTTTGAGAGTGCGCCGGGGATTGGGTGGGTTAAGAGGGCTTTGGAGGCGAGGAATGAGGCTTTGAGGAGGGATTGATGGTGTTGCGGTTTAGAGAGTTGGGAGGGAGATGGTCAGATGGACCATGGGTGGTGGAAGGGGGGATGGGTGAAGGGGTATGGAGGAGGTGGCCGATTTGGGCTAGTTGAGACTTTCACTTAATGCGCGTTTGCAGGTAAGATCGGGACTTGAAGGCTTTGATCGTGAAGCGAGGTACTTCAACATGGGCTTCTTTTCTCTATGTAGATGTAAATCCATTATCTACACCCAGGCTCGCGTCTGTCCTGTCTGCGAACACGGCCAGTACTAGTAATACCCATGAGCTCTTTAACAGAAAAACATCGTCGGCATCAGTTGCCTAGTGTGCCGCATCGTATTGCAGCAGCAAGTTTGGAATGCGCTAGGCATACTTGGATGCTGCTCTATGTTTTCTATACTGTTGGGTTTCTTCCCTGATAGTATGTATATCTTGACCCCATTTCCTTCTCTGTTGGTACATCATAGCAGTGATCTCGATCAACATGATGAAACGTGAAGAAAGAAACCTGGGAGAAACGAGCTTTTTCTTTAATAAAGCTTAGATAGTGGGACCAAGCCCTAGAAGCGAGTATCTTGAGACAAGCGTGGCGCACCCACGTACGTGGTATTTCGTTCCTTCTACATACCAATCACAATAATCACATCCAAAGGCATCTTAGTAAACATGTTTAGGGACCAAAAAAGAGTTCACCACGGTAGGCTACATCTCTTGGTGCACATGCTGGGACTCGAACTCGAACTCGTAGCCTGTCGTCGAGTAGGCTGTTGGGCGTAATGGGGTTGATTATTGACCATAGACCACTCCACCACCCAGCCAGTTTGACCTGGCTCGCCGACCTAGACGGGTGCATGCTGGCTGGTGACAGGAAAGGAGTTGGGGGGTATATATGGGCTTGGTTTCTGTGTGTATTGTGGTAGTTGGGATGAATATACGTTGCATGTGGTTGCTGTCTCCTGGGGTGATGATGGGTTTGATTTGCTTTGGTAGCAGGGCAAACTTGAAGGAGCACGACTACCAATGCTGGTATAAAGATTCTCATAGATCGTAACCTTGACCCAGCAGAGCCTGAAATTGCTAAATGCATCCATATTTACATGGACAACGACCTGGTGGTTATTCTAGATTGGGGAACGCAACCGTCTATCCGATAATGAAGCCGACTCTTATTCTTGAGTAATCCATGTGATGGCACTAGCTGAGAGCCGATTCTCAGGGGCCCCGGGGGGCGTGCATGCGGTCACAACTTCGCGTTATGGGTGCCCGTAAGCCACATCAGCTACCATTGTTGCCAATGTTTGGGGTCAGCCCTTCACAGTTCAGGGATACACTATGTATTTCTGATAAGAAATAGTAATCCTACCTTATAGTAACTGATTGCACGCTTCTGAGATAAGGCTTACAGAAATGACATCAACACTGCCAAAAAAAATCAGTTTTTGAAAGGGACAGGCTTACTCAATCTCGGCTCTTGTCGAATACTCAACGCAGACTCTACGAGTAAGTCTATTAAGACTCTCTGAAGGGACTTCGGATGATGTTGTAATGAGTCTTATGGGTATCTCACCGAGAACTAAGAGCAACATGTGGATTGATAGGTGGTTTGAAATGCTCCAAATGTCTCTATGGGTCTTGGAAGACCTCACCCTTTGGAAACGTATTACATGAACAGATTAAGAATACGGACAAAAGTACTTCGCATGAGATTCTAAGTATATATGCCCTTGTCCATAGCTCGGAAGATTTGATCCCTTTCAACTTCGTACTGGACTCAATTCGTCTGTTCACAATGGGCGAATACCATCATGCATCAGCGCTGGGTTAATCGGCCTATTTGTACCAGAAATAGCATGCGTGTGTAAGCGGACGGAACTTCTCTATCCCATGACTCAACTTTTGCTAACGGGGAAAATAATTAGCCATTAGCCCCCAACACTATGCCTATGCTTTATGCTTACATGGCCTTTGATTAATGCCAAGAGAGGAGTCTCAACAGAAGTAGCCATCAACTCGCCTTTAAATTATGGCGGTCTCAAGTCAGTTGACGTGATTTATTGAGAGTCTCGCACCAAACATCAGCCGAATAACTGCTGGTTCGTCCCAACTCGGAGCCAATTTCAGTCAAGGATCGGCAGTTCCCCGCAGCTCCCTTAGGCGGACCATTGACATTTGTCCAACGCGGCCTTCCAAGAGGGAAGGTGCCTGGTCTGCCGGGGACCGATGCAACGGGCCAAGCCGCTAGGGTGCACGTGTGGTAGCCACTCGGAGACTCGGGCACAAGGGCCTAAGAGGAATAAACTCATGAACCCCGGCCTCGCTAGCAAAGAAGCATACTTTTGTGCTCAACTCCAAACGCTAGACGGAGGTTCTTGAATGTTCTTAACCGATGGAATCCTCCGAAAGGGGGCAGACAGATCCGGTGTTTGCAGGAGAGCGGCGAGGACCTCCCTTGTGATCCGGTCCAGTTCCGCCGGGGGTGATGCATAGTCTCAAGTAAAGTTGAGCTGACAAGCCCAAGACTTTCCAATGTCGTATTGGCACAACTACGCAGTAGATTGACTAACCCTTTAGTTCGTCTTGCAGGTATCCCGACTGGCGGAACAATAGCTTTTGCTTCTCTTGGGCGTCTTGGCAAGTATAAAAGATACGAACTTGGGAGTCTCGGCCGAGCGGAGTGGAACCTCGACTTCGACTGCTTCTGAAGCTCATTACCGGGCAGGGAGATGGTATTATTGAGAGACGAGAGACTTCGGATCCAGGTTCCCATAAGTAGAGCGTGGTTTGTCCTGGTTCATTATGAGCATGGTCCTTGATACCTCAGCCTCTCTGCCTTTGGTCTGCCGTCTTGTTTTTGCTTCTTAGGATACCTCTTCGTACACCACACCATCAACATCATGAAGTTCACTTCTCTTCTCGCCTCCTTGGCGCTGAGCGCCCTCACCTCCGCCGCACCCGCCGCCTCTCCCGAGCCTGCCGAGCTCGCGGCCCGCGCCCCTACCCTCTACCTCTGCGGTGACAGCACCATGGCCAGAAGCAGCGACTCCCAGATGGACGGCTGGGGCCAGTACGTCTCAAAGTACCTCAACATCGCCGTCGTCAACCGCGCCATTGGCGGCCGCTCATCCCGTTCCTTCTGGAACGAGGGCCGCTTCCAAAACGTTGCCAACGAGGTCAAGGCCGGCGACATCGTCGTCATTGAGTTCGGCCACAACGACGTCGGCTCCCCGCGCTCCAACGACAACGGCCGCTCCGTCTGCCCCGGCGAGGGCACCGAGACGTGTGTCTCGGACACGACGGGCGAGACCGTCTACACTTACATCTTTTACGTCATCCAGGCCGCCAAGCTCATGACCGCCAAGGGCGCCACCGTCATCCTCAGCTCGCAGACGCCCAAGAACCAGTGGGCCACGGGCACCTGGGTCGGCACCCCGTCCCGCTTCGTCGCCATGCAGAAGAAGGCCGCCGCCACCATCAACGACGCGGCCGTTACCTTCGTCGACCACCACCAGGCCGTCAGCAACATGTACCTCAAGCTTGGATCGTCGGCCGTCAAGGCCCTTTACATCAAGGACAACACGCACACCAGCGCCGCTGGTGCCGATCTCAGCTCCCAGGCTTTCGTCCAGGCCATCTACCAGAAGATGAACGGCACGACCAGCCTCGCTGCCCACGTCAAGACGCCCATCAAGACTGTCTACTAGTTGGCACGTCGAGTTTCACATGCGAAGACAAGGGAAGGTTGCGGTGGCGGAACAAGTGTTTGGGGGAGGTTAATATTGCTGTCTTGTTGAGGAGCTTGGTCTCTGATGACTTGACGGCTCGAATTTCACTGTATATGTTTCAAACAAAGTTAGTCGAGGCTCTGTACATAGGCAAAACGACATGTAAATAGTCAACAAGCCTTCATATCTTCAAGCTCCTTTGCAAACTGCCATGTCTGCTCGGCACCTGGCTCGTTGAAAACCCCCAACTTCTCGTTGCTTGCCCACAGTCTGCGAATCATACAGCTGACTAGCTAAACTTGAAAATGCGGACTGCAACGGACCTGTATTCTGTACGTGTCTGGCACATGCTAAGATTATAAACGGAGTTGAATCCGGTCAAGTTGTATAGGGAACATAGTAGAAGCTGTTTATTTGTGTATCCATTCAAATACCGTGGAGCTCAAGTGAAATGGCAAAGGAACCTCCTCAAAGACAGCACTGGGACTTTTTTTCACAAATCAAAAAAAGCACCCGGGTTGGCTTGGAAGGAGCAGGCGGTCTTGACCATACCTTTCACACTTGACCACGAGACGGGATGGCTAAGGTTTTCCCCCCACCCTCAACTCCATTCCTGTCACCAGCACAGCAGGCGCCCTCCAGGTCGGGGGTCAGGTCAAACTGTGGCGTGGGTGGTAGAAGGGTTCATGGTCAACTATCAATTACGCCCACAGCCTACTCGACGACAGGCTACGAGTACCCGAGTTCAAGTCCCAGCATGTGCACCAGAGATGGAGCTCCCAGTTCAGCAACCGGGGGGGGGGGATGGTAAACTCTTTTGATGTTTTTTTTTGGACTTGATGCTATGTATCTAAGGCATCCCTGTTAGTATTGCACGAACGCAGAGTACTTATTGTCATTGGCGGAACTAAACTTCGACTACGTGTTGGCAACTTGTGCAACAACTTCTATCTCCATATCTTATATCCTCGTCCACGACTTCTTGAGTGCTCTCAGTAGCGTAGGGTCTGTTCCATCAACATTGAGCCATATGTCTATTTGTCGAAGGGATACTCGACCGTTCCAGGCTCATGCCTCCATGACCATCAACTCTCGTTCTCGTCTTCTTCTCCGAATGTCTCCCAAGGCATCATATTCAAAAGCTCTATGACTGATTCCTGGATATTGTGTTGCGAGGATGTAGGAGACTCGAAGCCGAGGCAGGTGTGAAATGAGCCTACGGATGTTCCGAGCATCCGTAGATACTGTCGTGGCAAGGATTGAGATTTCCACGTCAAGGCCAAACGTTGTCCCGCTCACTCCAAAGTCGCCCAATGTGATGAAGTGAGATGGCCAAAGGCAGCTATAACGATCGTGGTACCCCAATGGGACCCCTAGCAGATTTGATGCCATGATCAATCTTGGTACCCCTTGTGCTTCGCCTCGCGAAAAGGGGCAAACCTGACGTACAAGAACACACGATACATGATCGTCGTCGACAGCATCCATATCGCCATGAAGACTAACCACCAGAAGATATCGTGTGCATCGAGCCAAATCACCTGGTTGCGAAAAGACCAGGAAAAATCGTAGTTCCCGTAGTAGTCCCAGATATCCTCAGGGATAACATCCCAGTGTACAGCGTAGGAGAATGATCCCATGACAATGGCAACCGCCGTAATGAATCCCATCACGGTGCTGAGGCAGATGAGAGTCATGATCGAAACGGCTTTGCGGGGAGTGTTCGTTTGCGACTCGTGGAAGATCAAATTCCAAGCACGACTGTCCATGAGAGGCCGGCGGGCGCAGTTTCCGCCGAAGGGATAAGACTCCGCGGTTGGGGAATTGGCGGAAGTGTAGCTTGCCATTGTTTTGTGTTGTGCGTGTTGCAGCTTTTCTAGCTTTGATGATGCTCCAATATTCGTAATGGGCCGTGGCAATGAAGTGTGAATGATTGATTAGGTCGCCATACAGAATGCGATGACCCATAAAGAGGAAATTAAGCGAATTAATCGACGTATCTCCGGAAGATTTCTCACCATGGCTAGATCAAAGTGGCCACGATCCAACCTTTATGGTCTGAACCTCCGCAAACTGCGCTGCTTTCTCTTTAAGTTTGTGGAAAGCCTCGAAACTTCATCAAGCGTTGCCAATGCCTTGCAAAACTCACATGACTTCTACCTGGAATTAGAGGGAAATTATGGTAGCATAGTTATCAGTAGAGCATATTTCCATTTTCTAGTGGCTGAAGACTTCCAATATCCACAGGCTCGTTCGCGAAGTCATTGGCAGAAGTCAACTCCCTGCTTCCAGGATACAGAGGTTTTGCCTCTGGAGACCTTTCTGATTTATTATCAAGCATATCACGGAAACAGAATCCTTGTATGCCCTGAAAAGAATCCAATCTTTTTCAGGTCCGTCAAGGGGCATGAGGACTAGCCCATGGAGATTTTGGTATTGTCTCAAGGTCCGGTGGCATACATACTTCTATGTACCTGAGTAACCAGGGTTGTATTTCTCATGCCAGCGATTCAGTCTCCAGGTTGTTCAAGATTGAAAGTCCAAAACTATTAAGCGTGTATTTGTAAGCGCCGAGTGCTTGAAGAGATGAGGTTAAGTCGGTGGAGACCACGCCATCCGGCTTTAGTCTTCCCGATGTCGCTCAGCTCCACATAGGCGCCGGACAATTACCCGCCTCACCGTTTTTGTGTATCAACTTCCCAGCACAAGATCTCGGTTGGGCGATTTTTGTGTCAACACTAGCTTTGATTGGTTGGAAAACTTCACTTTGCAGATGTCGAGTTTGTCTTGAGAACGACTCGGTTACAGAAGTCTTACGTCCTTACTTGGCATTCGTTCTGATAGCCTAGTTAAAAGGCCGTCTAGAGGTCGTCTGAAGCGGGCAAAAGAGTTTTCTCATCACCCGCGACATCATTTCCCAGCGCCACTAGGATGCAACTCGCCGAGCGCCAGGAAGCCGACTCGCTTGAGCGGGCGCAACCTGCGGAAAGTAAGTCTTTGACCTGCCGTTAATACTTTCGTAGCGCGAAGGTATAATATGCTGATATCAGAACCTTGACAGCTCTGGACGTGGCACAAGAGTCCCACAAGTACCCTGAGGGCGGCAAGGATGCATGGCTTGTTGTGGCTGGTGCATGGTGCGCCATGATACCATCCATGGGTCTTCTCAATACTCTTGCAGTTCTGCAGGCCTGGGTTTCACAGAACGAACTTCATGGGCTCCCGGAGTCGACAATAGGCTGGGTATTTAGCACTTACGCCTTCTTCCTCTACTTTTGCGGCGCTCAAGTTGGTATGAGACACATCTTAATCAAAGTAATGACTCAAGCTGATAATTTTACAAGGCCCCATATTTGACGCTCATGATGTGAGGTTCCTGGTGATACCCGGATGCGTAGGGTCTGTGGCGTCTATGATGCTGATGAGTCTCTGCAAAGGTAAGGGCCATCGTTTTACCTCCTACATGTTCAAAGTCTCAATGCTAAACCATGAATCTGTGCCAGAGTTCTACCAATTTTTGCTCACCTTTGGTGTCCTCGGTGGTGTGTCAGCTTCGCTTCTTTTCAACCCGAGCATCGCTGCAATCGGGCACTGGTTCTCGGAACGCCGTGCTCTCGCTACAGGAATAGCCTGCACGGCTGGAGGCGTCGGCGGCGTTGTCTTTCCTCTCATCATTCTCTACATGGCTCCCAAGGTTGGTTTTCCATGGGCCATCAGGACGGTTGGGTTTATATGTGCTGCGGCGTCTGTTTTGGCATGCACGCTCTTGAAGAAGAGGCTTCCGCCGAGCAAGACATCCAGGGGGGCAATCGACCTCAAAGCGCTTAAAGAGACGAAATTCGGTCTCGCCACATTGGCCGTATTCCTGATTGAGTTCGCAGTCTTCATTCCGTACACTTACATTTGCTTGTACGCAATCCATGAGGGCATCGATCTCCAGAAATCTCTCCTCCTAAGTGCTCTGCTCAACGCTGGAGCGATCCCAGGCCGTGCCCTACCGGGCTACGTCGCAGACCGATTCGGCCCCTTCAATGTCATGTGCGTCACCGCCTTGGTATGCTCGGCGTTCATCTTCGCACTCTGGTTGACAGCGCATGGTGGAGAAGCTGCCACGACTGCCTTTGCGGTCATGTTTGGATTTTGGTCCGGAGCTGCCATCAGCTTGACGCCAGTCTGCATTGGACAGGTTTGCAAAATAGAAGACTATGGAAAAAGGAGCGGCACGGCGTTCTTTGTCTGCAGTTTTGGTGCTCTTGTCGGTGTGCCCTTCGCTGGAGCTATTCTGCAATGGTCGGGTGGCACTTACGACGGCCTTATACTCTTCGCGGGTGGTCTATACATCTTGTCGTTCTGCGCTTTTGCCGTTGCAAGAGGCGTAGCTTGTGGGTGGAATCCCAAGACCTTGTTCTAGACTTGAGTGAGACTCAGTCCACTGTCTGGGGCCTTACGTTATCAGCAAGAAAGAATTTTGTGGGCGCTATATGTTACATATCTTGATCAGATTTCTATCAGCGAGAATGAGAGCCTTATGATAATAATCTTCAAGACAGAGATGAAATTTGTCTTGCTTTGGGCTTTGCTGCGCCCGAAATTGACTCAGAGAGATAAAGTTGTTGGTATACACGTCAGCAAGGCAACCGTACGGTTGCCACGAAGGGCCAATAAAGTGGTATTGATTGTTGCGTATAGAGGTAGAAGGAGGAGGAAGTGGGCAGAACCCAAGATTCCTCCAGAAGTGGTATGTAAGTGAAAGGGCCGTTTTTATGGCCCAGACCGCCGACTGCCCAGAATCCAACGAAAGAAGCTCGAGTTTGCGTATTTCAATGCCGCCGAGCATCAAATCCCACGCATGAGTATATGAGCGAATGAGCGATGGTTACGAGACCTCGTTGGTGTGCGGGATGATGAGGTGTTTCCTGTGAAGGTGTATTCTGGGAAGACAAAATTAAATACAACAGGGGACAGCAGACTAACAAGTTGAACATGAGTGAAGCCATAGTGCACCATGGAAAGCCGGGAAACCACTGCAAGCTTGATAACATAAATCCAATAGTTGTGTTGCTTTTTATTAGACGATTTGTGTCACTTGCCATCCCACTGGCATAATCTCGCGAGTTCAACGTAAGTTTTATTTAGGTTGAAGGTTGTTGTCGTGAAAAAGAAGTCTACCTCAAGAAGAACCCGTAATGAGCCGTCTTGTCCAATATTAGGGGCTGAGTCCCTCGAAAAGGCTATTGTTGGCGACACTAACCTGCTCGAGTCGTGACCTTGAAGCGCCGTTTCAGAAAAAGCGACGTCGGCAACCGAACCGAGCTGACCAAGCGAATATCATCAACACCAAACGCCTATTAAGAACTTTAAGACCATAGCTTACCTTAAAATACACCACCTGACAGCGGCCACCTCCGCATCTTCCGATGAACTGGGCAAACCTCGCCTTACAACTAGCCCCCACAACTCACCTAAGAGAGATACGGCAGTTAACATAGTTTGACGCCTATATTACTTGCGCGCGGCTGTGTGGTTTTCCCTTGCCAATACCTGTCGCGCATTTGGAAGACGGACTCCATTCCGAGGCCCAAGGCCGGCAGGCAGCCTCCACAAGGGGTTGTCGCAGACTAATCGACGAGTCCTTTGATCACTCAACCTCAATGATGATAATTAGGAGGGGTTTTTGAGTTAGATTTTTTTAGTATAAGTTGCGGCTTCTGTACCCGCTGCCCAGAAACCATCCATTATCTTCATCGCACTCTCTTACCTCATAAACCAATCACTTCTCTACAGTCTCTACATTTTACAGCAACATTGCCGCTGCGTCTCTTTACTTCTGATACCCAAAATCGTTCCCAAACAATCAACTCGCATATTTAACAGCCCACCAAAATGCACGTCCGCGCCGTTCTCATTCTCGCACTTGGCGCCGTCGCCTCCGCCCAGCAGTTCGTGGACTTCCCCACCAGCTTGACCTGCAAGACTGGCGCTGGCGGCAAAGAAACTGCCACCATTTCAAAGATCGAAGCTCAGGATGCCGTAAAGGGCCCCAACGGAACCAAGCAGGACGACTCTGCCGCCAACGTTGCTTCTGGCAAGTGCGTCAACCTCTCTGGCGTACCCTTCTACGGAGTAAGTAACATCATGAGATATCTTCCGCATGATTACCCCTGTAGTTGTTCATGTGCTAATCGGAGTCTTTCCATAGGGCGGTGTGTCTGGCAAGGGCAGCATCTACTTCGCTTATGACAAGGCGAAGGACACATACTACTTCTGCTCGGCGCAAGGAGCTGTTGACGAGTCAGGATGGCCCTCTTCTTGCACGGAGAACTAAGCAAGCTATTGCTAAAACTGAATGTGAAGCGAGGATTTGTCATTTCGCACTTATTGAGGCCAATTCCGTGTGCATTTTGAACGTGAAGTGATGGTTACTTTGAGTTAACTCGTGAGCACCTTGTCTTGTTAGTGGAAACTTTGCCTGCACGGAATGGACTAAAGTCTGGAATACAAACGACCATGTTGCTCAACGATTCGGAGTAAGCGGTGCAATTTATGAGAACAAACAATCTTCGTTAGCTAAACACGGGCGAAAGTCATGGCCAGACCAGCCGAATGCAAAGGCGCCAGGTGGGACAACCGGCGTCATCTCGAATAAGCGCCGGCCTCCGACGAAGCCCGAGTTGCCGTGGGCCCGAGACGACGACGGTTCGGGAGCGGGCTATTGAAGAATGCAAGTTGGTAATCGAGTTCTCTACTTATTAATCACGGACTGGAATGGCTCGGATATGAAGCTTAGACGATGGAAGTTTCTTTCACACCGAACCGTTCCTGAAAATGAGCACAAAAAGAGATGTTTCCTCTCGACTGATTTGTCTCCTGAAATTCTGTTGCCGATTATTGGCAGACAAGAAAGTCACAAAACGGCTCTAGCCTACATCTTAACATACACCGAAATTCTACTGAGGCCTTTCTTTCAAACCTGCTCAGCCGATTAAGATCAAAATGTCGCGCGCGATTCTCATTACTGGCGCCACAGGCAAACAAGGCGGTGCCGTTATCAGTGCTCTGCTAGCCAGACAGCCATCGGACTTTCTGCTTCTTGCAGTAACGAGGAATACCCAATCGGCATCTGCAAAACGTCTTGCAGCAAGATCCTCGAACATCAAACTCGTTGAGGGAGACCTTGATGCGACCCCGGCGTTGTTCGCCTCCGCAAAGGCCGCGGCCGGAACCGTTCCGCTATGGGGCGTGTATTCCGTTCAAGCGATGGGCGACCAGAAGTCTGACAGCGAAACAAGACAAGGCAAGGCATTGGTAGACGAATCCATCAAGGCAGGAGTACGGCACTTTGTCTACAGTAGCGTCGAGCGAGGTGGCGACGAACGGTCTTGGAGCAACCCTACACCGGTACCGCACTTCATCACGAAACATCACATTGAACACCATCTCCGCGACAGCGCCGCTAACAGCAATACCGACATGGACTGGACGATCCTGCGTCCCGTCATATTCATGGACAACCTCATGCCGGGCTTCTTCGGCAAGGTGTTCTTCACCATGCTCCGCGATACCATGAAGGACAAGCCTCTGCAGTGGATCGCGACCAAGGACATTGGCTTCTTCGCGGCTCAGGCGTTCCATGACCCGGTTACCTGGAACAAAAAGGCGGTTGGTCTGGCGGGTGATGAGCTCACCTTCTCGCAAATGAACCAGACTTTCGAGAAGGCGACTGGTGCACCCGTCGGGACTACGTTTGGATTGCTCGGCAAAGCTTTGAAGCATGGGGTCTCTGAAATTGGAGTCATGGCTAACTGGTTCAAGGACGATGGCTACAAGGCAAACGTATCACAGGTCAAGAAAGTCCATCCAGACATTCTGGCTATGGAAGCTTGGTTGAAGGAGAGTGCCTTCGTAAAGAAGTAAAAACATTCAGGCACTAAGGACTCAGGAGGGAATTCGGTTGTATGGCAATCGCAGTAAAAACACTTAGACTAATGATAGAATCAATGAGGACGCAAGACACTCTTCTATAATCGCATCGGTCAATCAAGAGTTGCATGTGATATATCATATCGTTAAGTCGTTTGCAGGGAAACGCAAAGCCCGAATGCTACATAAAAGACCAATTATTGCATCAACAGCCCAACGAACACCCACGGAACCACCTTGTCCAGTGACGTCACCTGCACACATCAGGCAACTCAATCGACACCAGGACGATCTGCCGGCGAGATGGGCCGATTGCAGCTAATGCGAGCTTGCCAGCCCCTGCCTCAACCTTGCATACAAAAGTCCGACCCGCGCGGGAGTACAACTCTGGGGTCTTCAATCATACATCATCTTTTTTTCTCATGGGGCATTTAATAAGTTAGCCGACGGGAAGAATTACTGATCTTAAAGAGTCGGCAGCAAGTCCTCGCACACTACTAACAAGTTACGACACCCGGCGAATTGCTGCGCATCTAAAGACCGTGAAGAAAACTATGTGCTTCTTCGCTAAGGTACCTAGGTAACACTGCACGGAAAAGATGCGGCTGTTCACCTATAGTTGGTTCTCTGGTTCTTCGAAAGTGCATTGCAACATCGCGCCCGCACCGGACTAGCCGTAGAGGGCATCCTGCAGTTTTCAGTACAACCTTATAACTCAACCTTCCAACTCCGGACTTACCGACAAACAACAAAACCGGTTTATAGAAAGAGTTATGCTGATCAACGGGTTGGGTGAGAATTCTTACAAATAAACTCCAGGGGGTTCTTGGGGCACGCTTCTGAATCGAGTCATGTGGTCTGACTTAAATATGGATAGTTGGGCGGTTCACTGCGGGGATACGTCGCATGTATACAACTCTACAGTAATTACATAGTACTTCGGAAGGCTTAAGCCGACTGCCCTCACTTAGACAACCCTATTCCTGTGGACCGATCGTCATCGGCCACGGGCTCTCGTGCGATTGGCCTGCAATAGTAGCGCATAGTGGTAAACGAGAGCGAAAGCAGAATATCGGACATCGTAAGATCATGGGCGTCTACTGCTAGATACTACCTTCTGGACTCGATGAGAATGCAACATGTTAAGTAAAATATAAGCCGCCTAGTTCCCCGACCTCCGATGCATTGGTTCCTGATAGTTCATCCCATCTTGACTGTCCAGGCCAACAGCGCAGCATTGTCAACTCAACTTCGTTCACACATTCTTACTCATTTAAAAAAATCTTAACAATCGCTACCAAAATGAAGTTCGCTGCTATCCTCCTCCCTCTCATCCCCGCCGCTCTTGCCGGAGAGTGCATCCGCGACGGCGGCTGCCCCGGCTGTGGCCAAGTTGCCAGCGTCAGCTATGTCCAGGATGGAAGCACCTCCACCGCTACAGCTGCCTCCTACGGCTCCGTCACCTTCTCCGACACTACCATCACTGTCAAGAACACGTCCAACAAGTGGCTACTGTTCTGCAACTACGGCTCGGCCTGCTTCCCCGTCGAGGCCGGCGATACTTGCACCTCCGCCCGCCAGTCCTCCGACTCCACCGCTCTCGGACTCCAAGTGTGGTCCCAGTAGAAAGGCAAGTTCTGACCGGCTAAACGTTTCTAGCAGTGACTGCCAACTGACACGGATGCTTAGGGATCTCCAAAACGTGCGTCTGGGATCGGCATGGCAGCATGGCGCTGGAAGCTTGGATAAACGCGCGGGTGTGACAAACTGACAGGAGTCAGGCGGGGTTGATGGTTCCACGTCCCGCAGTCGTCCCAATTCTGTGCACAGCGCCTGAGATGGCGAATACACGGATTGGTCACTCTGTGCCACCCCCGCAGGCAAATTGCGGCCGATGCACTTGGTCTGCAAAATGACCGAGAATATACACAAACCAAAAGACGTCGAACGACATTCGCAATTTTCACGAAGGGCCAAATGATACCTTGTCTCGTGCTCTGTGCATCGTGATATTTATAGACCTTGGCCATTCTCGACGACAGGGTTGATGCTCGTTAAGCTACCCCTTTCCCCTGTCGCGCGATCGGCACCCCTGAGAGGATCTACTGAAGGAGTGACACTATGACCCGGCCTTGTGTTGAAGCTAGACAAGGACACCGAATATGTAGATCAAGTATGTACATGTAAAGGAATTGTAGAACAAAATGCTGCCACAGCTAAGTGACGTTGTCAGAGAAATTGGGTTCAGCAAAAATCGCGAACCCTAGTTGTCGGCGTCTGCCCGTTATCGTCGCATCCTCAAGACTGCCTGCTCTCGATTCATATCTCTGGTTCGTCGTTCTCGCATTCGTCTCATGGTAGATCTTCAACGTTGAGAAGAACGCTTTGCTTCAAAGGAACAAAGCCTTCTCTTCCGAGTTGCCTCAACAGCTCAACCGCTCGCGATTGGGGTTGCGAAACAACAGAAAGCTCGCGGTAGTGATGGAAGTTATCCACGAAATTCTTCTCCGGGAAGTGCGTGCGCAAAATGTCAAGGACGGTATCGAAGTTGAAGGGCTCAGCCCAAGCAAAGATTCTCTCGCTGCGAACGTTTGGGAGCACTGCAGCAGCCACGTGAAGTCGAGCGTTGTCTTCCACGTCGACGAAATACTCTGCAGTCCTTATTAGCTTCTCGGATAAGCAAGGAGTGGACATTTTCCCATGCGCTTACGTGGTGGAATGCTTGCTAGACGATCCGCGTGGGTTCCGTTCCATAGACTCTCGATAAAGGATGAGGTTGACGAATGGCCCTGATTGGCCGCATCCAGAGCTCTTCCAAAGTTGGTTCCGGGAAGCACTAACACCCAATCAGCCTCATTGCACAATCCAAGTATCGATAGAAATGCAGGTTGCTTACCGCTGCTGACTATCAAGTCATAACGACGCCGAATATTCTCGTGATAAAATTTCCACACTGCCATCTCAGCTTCCACCTTACTAGCAGCATATATATGCCACGCTCGCTGAGGGTGGTGCGGAGCCTCCCTCCATGCTATCTCCACCGACTCAGTGTTCCAACTGTCGGAGTTCACCTCGATCCCCTTCTTCTCGGGTTGAGGGAGGGCTGCAGCAACAGAAGAGCTGGTGAAGATGAACCGCTTCACACTCGCCGCTTTGTTGGCTGCTTTGAGAGCGTTAAGAGCCACAGTGATACTGCGAGGGATGACACTCTCGGGGTTTGGGCTGAAAGATACCGGAGAAGCGGCATGGATTACAGCAGAGACGCCTGTGAGGGTGTTAGTCTTTCTGGTGTATAGATAAGAGCTTCAACACATCTACCTTCAACCGCAGCGTCAAAAGCGCCCTCCCTTTCCATGTCCGGCAATGAAACCAACATAAAGTCGCCTTTTGGTCTCTGTCGCTTCAGCGCCTCTGGTAGCCAGGCGCATTTCGAAACGTCGCGAACCGTTCCGCGGACATTAAACCCTAGCTGCAGCAGTTCATTGCAGACGTGGGAGCCGATGAAGCCGTTCGCACCCGTCACCAGGACCGTTGAGCCCTTTGGAATGGCGAATTTTCGTTCCGGAGTCATATTGAAGAAACTTGAGGCTGGCGATATTGACTGTCCGTGACAAGGATGATGATTGCAGAATCACCGTGGCTGTTCGCAGAGCCAAGAAGTGTGGCTGTTTGTCGAGATGGCTGCGTTGCTGCGCGCGGTGACCGCCAGGCATCCCGTCGAGAACGAGAACGAAAGCAAGCGGACGATTTTATAAACTCTACTGACTTTCCGACGCTTTCTGAATACATCTTAGGCTCAAAAAATTCTACCCCGCCTTTTTATTTAGATAGAGGTTTCGTGTCTGCCACTTGTGACATTTTTCTGGTGGTTTGAAACAGCCTTTTTGCCAGAGACCGTTGTCGTTGAACGCCAAGTGGGACTCCTGGAAAAGGCCCAAGACGACAGAACGGGACCCAGAGCCGATGCACCCCCACGACATATCGCGAAAAAAAAGACTACTTGCACCGATAAAATAATGCGATACCAATTGGTTTTTTGCGGATGAGTCGGCATCAGAGAAGTTTTTCCATTCCTTTAAAAGTCTCGTCCGAACATTGAGGATTCGTATGGCTGACATTTGGTTCCAAGGGGTTGTAGTTACGCAAGACTTGACATGGGACTCAAACAGTACCAGAAACATGAATTTTCCGACTGTCTACCAGAAACGATACACGCTGCAAAGTGCGGTCTTTCTCAGCTGCTGGATCAAGCTTGCGGCCTTTTCTTCTTCTTTCTCTCCCACCAAAAGTCACTTGGACAACTAGGTAGATATGCCATGTTGCGGCGAACCCCGCCCCCACTTCGTGACAGTTACGTGCAACTTACTCTGGAATGACTATGTGTTGCAGGGATTCCGAAAACGCCGGTCTGAATTTACTCAAGCTATGGATGTTCAGACAAGTTGCCATTGTGTGGCGCTGGTTGGAAGCGAGGATTTGTCATTTCTTACTCGACCTCCTCCAATTGGCCATTCAAACCATCTTTTCGAAGATGTCAATCATGCAAGTGCACAAATGAACTGCCTGAAAGAGGATAAGCGGTTGGACTATGGAACACAACAACTACTCTCATGGGGCCACTCGCAGCTTCCCAACCGATCGAAGAAAATTCCGTTTTACAGGTAACAACTTTCTCAAGCTGAAGATTCGTAAAGGACAGTTGCAAAGAGATGGGGACCAGCGGAACTGAGTGACAAGTCTTCTCTGTTTACAGATGGCAGGTGGCGGCACCTTTTGGATTACAGTTTTCATTAGATTAGCTCTTATTCTGGCTCTGACGCTTTAAGAATCTCTTGATGTTACCTACCTTAATTCGTATCCTCGATTTCTAGTCTAAGTCTGTACATAGGTTTGCCACACTAGCTTTTAATACTTCACAAATTATAGACCCACGTGAGGGAACCCTGAAATGATACTCTGCGCAAAAATACCAATTGCTGGCCATGACACTCGCATTATTTGTATGTCCCAGCCTACCCCTATATGGACACATAAAGGCCGATGCTCTACGACACAATTTTTGACAATTTTGACATCAGTCAGAGGCCAATTAGAGCATATTTGCACTGGTGCATCAGGTAGCAGACGTGGATGAAGCCAGAAATAAGATCATAGGCGCCAAGACATCCGGAACAAGGGTAAACACTTACAATATGATGGGTTGTCATCGTTTCACATGTTAGTCACGGTCTAGACACAAGGTCTTCAAATACTACAATGCTACGACATCAAGATAAGGACGGCAGAATTTCGTAACTATCAAGCCCGGGGCGCTGTCCGGGTACGGGGCAAAACTTCGGTCCCGGACGGGGCTACTCCTCGCTCTCGTATCCCGACGCGATTGGTCGAATGCAGCGGGAAATATGGGGTCCTTAGCGGCTCGCACTCGATCGGAGACCGGTCGTACGCAAACGTCGAATGGCATTCCACACTCAAATAGGCAGTCCCCCTTACGTAGAGGAACCTAATATTGTGCATTACTCGTGTGGTAGAGTAGTTATGTAAGCAGCGTGCCCTTTTGCTGGACTCTTGCAAATCTGCCACGATGAACATGATGGCGATGATTTACCGGTTGAGAACCGCCGCTTGTCCTTGGCGCTGTATCTTTCAACACCTCAAGGTAGAAGATGCAATCGCAGAATGGGAATGATGCTCCCGCCAATCAATTTTCATGCACGCAATGCCGAACACGGAAACTGAGGTGCGATCGCGCTCGCCCGCGCTGTGGACGGTGTGCGAGGCTTGGGGACAGCTGCGACTATCCACAGTCAAGAAGAGCGAATGTCGGCAGGAGGAAACGCGTGCATGAGCTAGAGGCTAAATTAGGTACGTCAGTTCTGGTTTCAACGCCCATTATTATACGGGACTGCTTGCAATGTGGTTCCTGGGAACCAGTTAGTCTTATACTCATAATCTTATAGAGCAGCTTGAGCGGCTGGCAAAGACCGGAGATAACCCTTCTACCTCTGAAAATGACGAAACTCCGCCCCAACAAATCGCCAGCGAGAATGTCGATTATTTGACGGGAGATTTGCCGCATGCAACGACATCTACCAACGGTTCTCCAGGTCATATTCAACCCCCACCAAACGACAAGACGTCTTTTACAGAACTGCTCTCCCTCGGGCTTTTAGAGCCATCACCGTCTCAAGACATTATTGAGTTTTTGTTAGCACTATCATTGCTGCCCATTGTTGAAGTCATTGCATTCCTAACTCTACCCACAGGACGAGAACCTACTTTGATAAATGGCAATACGCCGCGCCAATGTTGCACCCGACTCGGTATACCATGTCATTGTACTTGCCGCCTCACATGCAGCCTCCAATGTGTCTACAATACATCGTCATGGCCTCCGGCGCAGAAGTGACCAAGACCCACCGGCAGCTAGCCATGCCGTTCTACCATCGCGCAAAGGCATATGTAGAAGCCGATGAAATGAGAGTGAGTTGCGCGGCCCGCTTTACCGAGAACCCGGCGAATTCTTGCTTGACCGTGTTGCTGACAAAACTCCAAAAAAGGGTGATGGGCAGTTCTTTGCTACTGTAGCACATGCTCAGTGCTGGACGCTGATTTCCAACTTTGAAGCCCAGCAACTCTACTTCGCACAGGCCTCAATGAGTCTTTGCCGAGCCATCAGAATCGGTCAGATGCTTGGCCTTCACCGGGTTGACGGGGAAGGCGTCGACGCGATGTCTCTGCTTCCACCTCCGCAGGACTGGTCCGAGGCAGAAGAGAGAAGGAGGACGTGGTGGGTGATTTACTGCTCGGATCGATTGGTCAGCGGGAGCACGGGCTGGCCGGTCATGATTAACCAGCAAGATGTGAGTAAACAGCATCTAGCTCCGTACGATGCCTGGTTGGATTGTGAAGACATGAAATCTAAGGTCTGTCCATTGTTGCTCACGTAAATCTTTTGCAGATTACTACACATCTCCCTGCATCAGAAACGGCCTTTGAGACGGGCGTCGAGGAGCAGGCGAGCCCGCTGACGAGCATCCTCCTCCAAGAAGGTCGCGACTTCTCCGCCTTTGCAGGAAGGGTGCTGGCCGCGGCATCTTTCTTCCAAGCTTTTCAGCACTCGACACGAACATTACCAGACGATGACCTTACCGACCCACGTACAAGTCGGAACTGGAAACGCCATCGCGAGATTGACAACGATCTCGTAGGTCTCCTTGCCGCCCTCCCGGACGACCTGACGCTCCCCAAAAACATCCAAAGCCGCAACGCTACCTTTGTTAATGCCATAATCCACACGTCGATTATTTTGCTACACAGAGCGGCTCTCGCCAGGATAGAGTCGTTCGGGCTGCCGGAGCACATGGCGAAACAGAGCCAGGCGAGGTTGATTTGCGCCGCCGAAGAGATTCTTAATATCATCCGAATGATGCCCGATATCACGCAGACGCTCAAGAATCCCATGATGACCTTCTCCATATACACGGCCTCTCTCGTGTTCCTCGAAAACTGGGATACGTCGGCTCAAGACTATCGACGGCAGGATAACCTCGATTTTATCCTTCGCATCATCATATTGGCTGCTAAGGCGTGGAACAATCCCGTCACGAAGTCCACAGCAGTTCAGCTCGCGGTGGATATGCGACAGCGAGGTCTCGAATCCGAGGCAGTCGACAAGGTGTGTATTGGCAAAGCCCTTTTGCCCCCATCGGGAAACCCCTTACAAGACTGTACTAAATCACATTGTGTAGGCAACTGAATTGTCACCAGGCCTCGATATGGAACCTATCATGGCAAAGGGGTCATCTTCATCCTCCAACTTCGTGTACCAGGTCAAGACCGCGGACGATGCAGCACACAACATGACTGAGTAGCAGCTGAACTGCAATCGCTTTGCTATTGAAGACTATCCTGTGGAAGGCCATTGTTATTTTGAAGGCGTTCACTATAGTAATAAGCCGAATGCCTGTGAACTACACCGTTTCAGGTGTCTCAAGGCTGCGCCGTCAATTCGCATTGCGAAGACTTGCAATGCATAAGGTAGCAAAACAAGGCTTCCAATGCTGATTTGCGCATTTAGATGCGGCGAAATCACTTGTAAGTCGTTGATGCCAAACTCTGTGTCCACCATTTCGCGCTGCCCGTATCGTGCTTGGCGCTTTGTATAACGGTGTCCCAACCAGGTTAGCGGGGGTATACCTAATACGAAACGGTTCATTTACACCACTTCCCTTCTTGTTCATCTGTAAACCAACTCGCTTCAGATCATACACAAACATTCACACACTCACTCACACACATACTCACACAAACATACGCAAAAATCAATCATGGAGGAATGGACCGAACTCTCCGTCGCCACCCTCCTGGAGAGAATCCTCCCTGAGTACCCGGACTTCAAAATGGTCACACCAGCCGCTAAGCGACTTTTCTGAACGCTCAACGGCCCTCTGGAGAGCGCAATTTAGGTCACGCCAAACCCCTATTACGAGCCAGGTGACGCGATGGAGCCCTACTTTCGCCTTTTCTCTGCCGAAGAATCTGCGAGTGGTCTCGAGCCGAGCTGGCACCCTATATCGCAGGAGTCTCTCATGGCACCCCCAGTCACAACCGTCACCGTCCGAGTCGAGGCACTTGACTCATGGGAAAAGCTCTGGGTCGAGCTGAATCGCTACTGCGTTGCGAATACCTCGACGGATCCTAACCGGCCCCGGGCTAAAGACGCCCAGCTCGAGGTGACGACGGCGGGTAGCTTTCTCACGACCCACGAGTACATCTCTGTCGTGCACCCGTGGCTCATGGGCATGCGCGAGAGGATCCTAGACGCCTTGAGAAAGCTCGAACGCCAGGCAGGGGAGGTTTTGTGGACGCCAGAAGCCATTTTAGCCGTTCATTTGTTCGACGGGCCGATAAGAATTGGGACTGAAGACGGGTAGGCTCAATGGCACAGAAAGGCCAGCCCTCCGCGAGCGGTCGAACAACGTTCTCGCGACCGATGGCGATCAGAAGCTGCTTAGCAACATTTCCGGAGGCAACGGTCGCGGGGAAGCTCTCGGCAATGGCCTGGGCGATGATATCGGCTGGCATGACTTTCCATCTTGAGCTGAGGAGAGATGTGAGAAGACAAGAGAAGAGGCCATGGCCAGCGAAAGGGCGGCACCGAGGCGCGAGATGGCAGTACCAAAATTGAACGAGTCCATGGTATCCTCTCGTGCTTGCAGCTTATGCGAATGATCTGTCTGCAGAATTAGGTTCTGACGGGGCCCTATTCAACCTCGGGGGTTCGGATTGATAGTTAAAAGGGCTTGATCGGACTCAATGACCTCCATTGTTGCCGCGCTTCCATTGCCCTGCGCCGCTTGGTACTGCCACTGCATATCTTCATTTCTTATACGAGCGGCACGACTGAGAGCTCTCCTGCGACAGAGATGAAGAGATTTTCCGGAATTCTGTGTTAATTGGCTTGTGTTGTGGGCAATTTGGATCTTGGCGTTGGTGATGTTGAGTTGAGAGCCGAGAGCCCGCTTTGCTTCTCGACGACGGAGCACCTACACAGTCCATCCAATGAATCGGCGGGGCAGGCAGCACCGTACCTACCTGTTTAAGACAGCGCCATGGTTCATCATCTTAGTTCAGCACAAACTTGACACAAGCAGCAGGTGAGTCGTGATAAAAGCATGTAACCGTGAGGCGCAGCACCGATTGAGTGGCTGGCTACCTTGGTATGGAGTCACCGTTGAAAAACGGTTGAATCGGATGATCCGTGTGGTACAGTTTAAGCAATTTGTGCCCCATAATTCAAGCATGTTCTGCCAAAGTTCCGTCCCGCCCTCTCCAAAGACTCTTCGAAGACTCTTGCCCAGTCGACTCGACCACAGTTGGCGATTGGAAAATATCCGCTGCGCAAAATTCGACAACGGGAGGTAGAGGGAGGCTAGCAGGATAGGGCACGCAGCCGTGATCTTTAAGATCGACACTACCTTAGAAATTGCACGGATAGTGACCATGTAATTATCTTTCAAGCGAAGAGGCGCGGGCTCAATATTACCACCTGGGGCGATTACGGGAGCCCGATCAAGCCGACACGAGTGCCCTGGACACGGTACATGCCCAGCTTTAAGGAGGCTCTGAAGCGCGTGCGTACCGGCCATCATCGCGTAGTCGAACATATCCCGGCCGATTTCAATAACTACTTCGTGACAATCGAGCCGGATTTGAAGGAACTGACTGATTCGGGGATGCGGGCTGCTGGCTCGGCCGACCAATACAGCCTCAAAGTCGAGACAGAACAATATTAGGGCCCCCAGCTACTGATCAATATTACGCATCGCACTGCCGCCTACTCATCGTCTCATACTGGATGGAATCCATCGCCCATTAAGGAGTTGTCCCCTAGGGCGATGATTCCTCTTACGCAGTATTCTGCAATGTACTTGATTACGGCGCCATCAGCAACGGCGTGTCTAACAATACCGCCCCCATCAAGAGGGCCATCAACGACGGGCGGCGTTACGGCGAGAAATGCAACGGCTCGACGGTCAAGAACGCCATCGTCTATTTTCCTTCCACCCAGCACAATACCTCTTCCCTTAGAGACGTAGGTCATCAGCGATACCACCGGCCGCCCAGAACCGACCACTTTCAAGTCCTTCATCGGTCTCGGGGTACTCCCAGCAGACCAGTACACCGGCGGCGGCACTGGTCTAGACGGGCACGGCTAGCAGTAGTGTGTCAACACGTCCAATCTGTACCGCCAGACCTGCAACATCATCATCGATGTCCGCCCAGCGCTGCCCCTAGAAGAGACGGCATGCCTCAACTACCAGGCAACACAGGCCACCAGGTCAGATGGGACTGAGGTTGAGTGTGGAAGTCGATAACCTCGAATGACGTGAACAAAGGCTTCAAGTTTGTGCCTGACTATCCCGACGGCAGCATTGGGTCATCGCTGATCATGGACTCGTCCTTGACAAACATCGGTTTCGTCGTCGCTGTTCAGCCGCCGTCATCTCAACCCGGCTCTGGAAGTACCGGCCTCGGCATCGAGAACACCGCCATATCGGGTGTCACCACAGCCGTCGCCGACACGAATGACTGCTCCCTGCTGGCCGCGTTTATCAGGCTTGGCGAATGGGTGCTGGGCCCCGTGTATTCGAGCTCAGCCGATGCTGGTACGCGCTCCTTTTCATCTGCGCCGTGCTCATTGACTAGAATATGGCTACTGATGCAAAAGGGTCAGCGGCCCTCTGGGACTGCCACGTTCGGATCGGCGATGGGCACCGACCTGACGCCTACTGAGAGTGCCCGGCTCTGACCTCTGGCATCGCCCCAGGCTGCAATTCTGATACCTCCGATGATGCATATCACGCCAGACGCATCGTGATACTTCGAAAACATGTTGCTGTGGGTAGCTGACCATCTGATTGATGACCCAGACCTAGAAGACGCCAACAACACCATGGTACAAAAATCGATCTGCGTTGCTCGCGGCCTCCTTGTCGAGAGCGCCAATTCCGCGTAGCTCCACGGCACGGCATCGGTGCACGTGTTCATGTATTTATTCAACTTTCACAATGCCGCGAGCGCCCTCGCCGCCATGATCCAAATAGAGTACCCATACTAGCAGCCAACCCCAAACCCGCCTGCCCCTTTCGCTAGCTCTGTCGGCCTCAACCCGGTGACCCTAACTACTACTGTGCTGCTGACGACGAGTTACTACGACATGGACATGCTGGACTGCCCGGGAAGGAGTGGGAAAGACAACAACTCTGGACAGATGCCAATGGGTGACGGCCTTGGCTAGGACGTCCCCAAGACTCTCAAACAACGGCACTTTAAGCCTGTTTGGGGGTTTCCCCTGGGGCTCAATGTTGAGTGAGCTCGGGCGCATATGCGAACAGCCGCTTGAATCGAGGATCACCACCACCACCACCACCACCACCACCAGGGCGCAGACGACTCAGCCTTCCCAGCCCACGACGAAGCCGCTCAAGCAGGCCGACGACAGAACAATGTGAAATACTACGGCGAGGGGCGCAAGATGAGCAACATTCGGCCGCAGAACGGCATCAATTACTTCTGTAAGAACGTTGGCTCCGACCAAGCAGGGCGGGTATGGGAGTAATCACTGCCTTAGGTGCAACACTGATCCGAACCGCTCGGCGTACTAGCGATTCTAGAGAAAGTCAGCTTCAGTACTTAAGTATCTTCTATGTAAAATCTCGCATGTGTTCTTTGACTCCAGTTCTCTCAGAACATACTAGTTGCTCAATAGTTTATGTGTTTAGTACTTACTATTTGTTTCGTTTTTCTGCCTTTGCTAGATAGTCACTATACAAGCAATAAAGAGGCTTCAGAATGTCGACTTACGGGGCGTTGGGTGAATTTGGCTAGGCATCTCAAGGCACCAAACCCACGAGGACCCAAGGGACTGACAATGAATACTTGAGAGGGAAATTTTGCCCCAGCGAGTAGCCTCGAAGACTTCCCCCCCTCTCTTTCTATCTCACCTCGACACTTGACGGGGGAAACACAAGCGGCAGCACATGTGAAAAGTCAGCTTTGACGTGTACATGGCTTCAGCAGAAAGGACAGGAAGATGATCTTGCCACTTGTGATATTACCGCGCAGCACGAGGCAACGCGAAACAGCCAGAGTGTTAACATAAATCAAGCACGCAACTTCACCAACTCACGAGCATGACATCCCCAAAAGCGACATCGAATAATTGGCAACCTCATCCATGTCTTGCGTTACCTGATACAAAGGGCCGCATGGCATGGCATGGCATGCACTGCAACTCAGCTCACACATACACGCTCGCCGGGTGGCTAATCACCATAGCCGAGCTGGGGCCCCCTCTTCTACCGCTCCAGCAGGCACTCTCAGGAACATGACCAGCGTAAGAGAAACTTGTCTATCGCATCCGGAATCATTGCTAAAGGCCACCCCCTTCCTTCCGCCCCCTAGCGCCGTCCCCCGTCCATTAATGAATCAGTAAAATCAAGTTCCCCGCAATGTTTCTAAACCACTGGATGGATTGGTAGTTGCGGGTCGGCACGTCGGCACACCGGGTAGGGAAGTTTGGATAACACAATAAGTAGACATAGCGTTGTTACATGCCATCGAAGTCGCCGCCAAGGTCGTCCTCATCCAGGTCTCCCTCCTGTATCTCCTTGGCCATCTCACGCTCGCGTTCGCGGGCCTCCTGGGCATTCTTCAACTCCAAGCGGTGCTGGTTCATGGGGAATCGCATGGCCTGAAACAGAGTATTGTCAGAATGTATGTTGACATGTAAGTATGCGGGAAAACTCACCTTGACGCTCTCATCGTGGAGAGCCAAGCATGCGCGAATTCTGTCGTGGAAGGCTTCACCGGGCTCCCGCGTAGCGTAAACATCGCCGACCTCCTTGCTCTTCATGTATCCATGCTCGCGGTCCAGGGTAGCTTCAATAACACCATCGCGGATGGCCTTGGCGACAATGTACTCGGCTGACTCTTCGCTACCAAGGTCGAGGCGGATGCAGATGTCGCGCAGGGAAATGCGAGAGTATGACAGAGACATCATGCGAATGCCGGTCTTGATGACGTTCTGGCGCAGGCGGAGAATCAGGCTGTAGGTGCCGTCTCGGCGGAAGGTGTCGGCGTGATCCGCAATGATGGTCTCGAAGTTCTGGACCTTGCCAACCCGGACGGCCTGGACAAGGAGGAAGTACGGGTGCAGGGAGAGCTCCAAAGTGGGCTGGCGGAAGGTAGATCTCTCAGGGATATCGCCCATCAACAATTCAACCACTAACAGAAGCTTGGTCGCCGTCTGTGAGAAGCCCACCGCGCAGGCGCTTGAGGGGGCCTTTCTTGTCGCAGCCGTGAGGTGCTCGTGTGCCTCCGTGTATCTCAGTTGAATGGCGCGGATGCGTCCAAGGTAGTATAGGAAGCGTGCGACCTGGTTGTTGGCTGCGTTCTCGGGGAACTGGGTATGGGATACGAGCAAGTCGGCCTGCGCAATGTGAGACGTCAACAGATAGCTGCGAAGCAAAAGCACAATGACCGAGGCTTGCGTGTCGATATCCTTGCGGAGAACGGCGGTCCGCAGAGCAGCCAGAAGAGTGGGTCGAATAGCGACGACCGGAGACTGGGGAGAAGGAGGCTGAGGGGCGAGGCTTTCGCAGAACATTGAGTAGTAGAAGTAGACCTTGGCGGAAAGGGAGTCTAATGTGCGGCGGTTAAGCGTGTGGATACGGTCAGTGAGCTGCTTAGAGAACTCGGCTCCGTGTTGGAACTGTTTGGTGTCGTAGAGGTGGACCTGAATCAGAATGCCGAGGAAGATGTCAACCTCGGGAATGATCTCCTTCACGTCCTTCTTCTGGCCGTTCTTCGTCTTCGCAGGCTCGCTGTCTACCTCCATCTCCGGACCGCTGGAGCGGCCGAGGGGTACGTTCTCGCGACCGATGGCGATCAGAAGCTGCTTAGCAACATTTCCGGAGGCAACGGTCGCGGGGAAGCTCTCGGCAATGGCCTGGGCGATGATATCGGGTGTCAGGCGCTTGCGGATGGTGGAAATCGACCGCAGGGCTCGGAGGGAGAATCTGGCATCGAAGAGCGCGACTGCGCGGTCCAGCAGTGCGAAATTGCTCTTGATGTCTGTAGAATTGACATCTGTCAGCTTTCTGGGTTGTTTCGGGATACATCGAGGGCTTCAGAACTGATTAAACATGACATACCTGCTACAGCCTGCACCACGGGGTCAATCTTGACCTCTGCGTCATCTGCTCCAGCCTCATCACCCATCGCAACGTCCCCGTCAGTATCCGCCGGGGGAGCAGCCGCCTTCTTGGACGGAGGAACAACAACGGTCATCTCTTCGTCGCCGTCCTTTGCTCCCTTCTTGCCCTTGCTCTTTGAGTCGGCATCCTTGTTGTTCTTACGAACCCCGTTCTCGAGGGGATCCTTCCCGCTGCGTGAAGGTGTTTTGCCCGGCATTTTCGCTCGACCGGATGTGCGTAGATATGCTGTGGGTAGTGTATTGAGTGCTGCTGGAAATGGCAGCAGTCGGATATGATCGTGGAGACGCGCCCGGGGAGGAGAGTGCGGGCGGGTTGTTTTGCTTAGATATGGCGTCCCGCCAGTTGCTTCGTCTGAAAGCAAGGTATCGAGGGCGAGGAAGTCAGGTGACACAGGTTGAGAAAGCGTCAGGACGAGCGGGAGTCGATATCGGAGCTCTGTGAGAGTCGGCTGTCGTTGATGGGAATGGGTGGTTGCTGTTTGGCTGTTTGCCTCGTGATGCAGGAAAGTCCGATGGATGGAAGCTCAAAGATTGAATACCTGAGGCTTAGGTTGCTGCTTCCAGGCTCTGGGGGGGAACGACACAGACCGGGCAAGCACCTCACCCACCACACTAGCCGGTGCTGGGTAGTGGGTACAAGGATGTGGACCCGACGCGAGGCAGAAACAGCCATCTTTGCAAGGGCTCAGCTATCGTAGTTTGTACCCTCTACCTGGCATTACTTAGCGAGTGAGATTGCCGGGCCTGCTGGAAGCATGGAGCAACCCCCCCAACACCGAACGAGGCAAAGGCCACCAGGTCCGAAGCGGGAGTGACGTTGTCGATGCTGCCTGCCTCAGCGGCGTCGTCGCGGTGCCTTTTTTTTGTGCCACACTTATGCATGCCTCAGCTACCTGAATTATGTAACTATTCAGGGTCCGTCGTGGAAGCTCCCAATCCCGCCATCAACCTAGGCTGTAGGCATAGTATCAAATCAACATGGCATATCACCTGGATTGGCATTGCGCGCATCCTCCTAATTGCTTGCAGTCGAGACCCATTCTACTTCTGACTCTATCGCACGCTCTGGGTTCATCAGAATGTCAACGTCACCTTCATATTTGAGTCTTTTGCTCAGCTGAATGCAGACTGTTGCTTCTGGATCCCTTGCTGTTGTCTTATCGGACCTGAGGTGGCTTTGCACCACCTGGCCCCAGCTGCGCTCGCTACCTTCATCGTGAGGACCTTGCTGGCCTACCTTACCTCCTTGTGGCATAATTAATGACACCGCAACACTGAGACGGACAACTATGCATACTGTGAATGGACTCTAGTATCAATTTGGGTGTACCATAACTATGAAAGCCATGGTGGATGACCACCGCAGCGCGAGATGTTGCAAGTTAACTAGCAATTACTGCCCGTCCCAAACGCCTTTTTTTCATGTCTCCCAAACCATACCATTATGCCCATGAAAACCAATTCATTTGCCACTGTCTAATCAATCTTACTCCGGAAGAGAAGCCTACTTCTTTGTTGGCAGGAAGTTGACCTCCATACGTTTCGCCATAGACAAGTCCGCATGCTGGTTACTTGCATCAACCGAGAACTGCCTGAGGGGAGGGCCAGCAGTCTGGGTCGGAGCAGATCTTGAAGTCGAAGTCTTCTTAGCCGGAGATGCAGATTTGCGAGACTTCGCCCTCGACGATGCCGTCTTGGCCGGCGATGTCGCTCCGACGTCTTCTTGATTGAACCGAACACTCTTCGTCGTGGTTCTCTTAGCGGTGCTTCGATTTCCTGCGGCAGCGTGCCGCGGTTTCTCGGTGGGCTCGTACTACTCGCCCTTGCCCGAGGTTACCTTGGCTGCTTGGATGGCGCTCATTTTGGTAATCCAGGCAGTCGAGGGCTGGATCTTGCGCACGGTGCGAAGCTCGTCAGAAGAGTAGCCAGGGACGCGGATATTGTAAGTGCGTTCCAGGACAAGCTGGATATCGCGAATCTCAAGGACCTTTGAGCCCCGCTCCTTGGCGTTGCGGCAAGCCGTCTCCAGAACGTTGTCGACGAAACTGTCTGCCATAGCCAGAACACTCTGCAATACAGTGAGCAAATTTATCATCATCGGGGCGTTAGTGATAGCTAACGTACCTCTTCGACCTCGGGAGTCAACATGTTGATCTCCTGGCCCTCAGCATTTCCGCCGCAGACTTGTCGCACAAGCTCGTCCAACTTCTTCTTGCTGAGTACGTGATCGCCCTCAGCCTCATGGACGTATGCAGGGATCTTGGAAATCGCGGGCTGGCCCATGACACCTCCAGCGATGCCGCCACCTCCTGTATAAGTCGGACGTCCAGCGCCAGCACCGCCCGCCATCGCAACGGGTTGAGGCACGGAAGTAGCCTTTTCTGGAAGCTGCTTGGGAATCGGGAGTTTGGATTGCAACGTCTGAGTTGGCTGTGTCGGGTGCGCGTGTTGTTGCTGCGGAACTGCACCAGATCCCATGACACCCTGAGCGTGTGCGCCGGCCGAGCCAGGAGTTCCCGTGGCCTGCTGGATAGGAGCCGACGTCTGAACGTTGCGCTGGTTTGCGCGGGAGACGGCGGCCGAATGGCTGAGAGCTTGACCAGGACCGGCAGGAGCGGCGGACTGGGGGGTCGCGACGCGCTGGGTGGGTGTGCCTGCCGAGGGGAGTCCACCGCCTGCAGAAACCGACGCGATGGCAGTGTTTACTGGTGGAGGGTGATGTTGGCCTTGGTTCATGGTCTGCTGTGGCGCAGAAGCCATGGGTTGTTGAGCTTGGGGAGCTTGAGATGTAGTCGGTGTCGCGGCAGAGGAAGCCGCAGCCTGAGCTGCAGCCTGAGCCTGCTGTTGCTGGAGTTGTTGCTGTCGGAGCTGCTGCTGTTGTTGCTGCAACTGCTGCTGTTGCTGTAGCTGTTGCTGTTGTACCTGTTGTTGAGGCAGCTGCTGTTGCTGCTGAGGGGGGGTGCCTTGACCTGCGGCAGCTGCGCCGGTCATTTGCTGGTTCTTCGCTGCCTCGATTGCGGCATTCACTGCCGTGGTGGGGTTCTGCGCGTTCTGTGTGGCCGGAGTGCCTTGGGCGGTCGGTGCCGGGCTTGCTTGAGCACCGCCAGGCTGTGTCGAAGGTGGTTGTGACGCCGCGACGGCTGGGCTGTTTTGCTGTTGCTGAGAAGGCGGTCGTTGTTGTGCAGCCGCGCTCGCACTTGCCGCAGTCTGCCCCGCCGCGGCAGCAGCTGCCACCGCCGCTCTCGCCTTATTGATGCCTTCCTGAGATTTCCTGAAATTCTGGACGAAGGTCTGGGCCTCAGTGTGCATCTTTTGCGCATGATCCCTTCTAATTTGCAATTGCTTTGCTTCGTCTGCACCCAATGCGCCCTTCTCCTGTTGGTTCTTAACGTGTGCATCGATTCGCCTTATCTGGATTCCCTGCTGATCCATCTGCATCAGCGCCCTAAGATATTTCGCTTTGAAGTCATTGGACCACCGGGCAGCCGCCTCCTGGCCTTTGTCTAGGATGCCCTGAGGCGGATTGAAGGTCATCTGTCGAATATGAGCTAGGATGTGATCCGCAAACTGTGTCGCCTGCGGCGCCTGCTGCGGCGCAGTGGGAGTCGGTGCTGCCGCCGCTGGAGCGGGCGCAGGCGTGGGAGCATGCGCAGGCTCTGCCGTCGTCGTCGCCGTGTTCTCGGTCTTCGGTTCGGTCTTTATAGTGACGCCTCCAACGTTCGCCTGGCTGGCGGCGGCCGCCGGTGCTTGTTGCTGAGCCGGCTGGGCTTGTTGCGCGGGCGCCGCTGACTGCGCTGGCTGACTCTGTTGCTGCTGAGTCTGTTGACCACCCTGTTGCTGCTGTTGAGCGGCTTGCTGCTGAGCCTGTTGCTGTTGCTGTACCTGCATGCGGCGTTGCTGGAGCTTGTTAAGCAGCATTTTGGTAAAGTCCTGGATTTTCTTCTTGGCATCTTGATGTTGAGCGGACTCCTCAGGGTGCGTTTCATAATGATTCCATAACTGGCGCAAACCCCTCTCATACTTCTGCTTCTCTTCGTCGTTCAGAATGGGAAGATTTCGCATCATCTCGGGTCGATACATGGGTGGCTGTCGCGCACTCGGCACGGTTTGACCGGCGGCGGCCTGGCCAGGCTGGCCTTGATTGTTCATGGTCGCGGTTCTTACGGTTATCGGAATCGGCCGCAAGATGGAGACAACTTGCACAGTATTCGAGAGTTTGGTATTCGATCGGAGAAATGTTTGAATGATACTACTGATGTTCTACACCCTGCTGGCGACGGAAGATGTGTAGACCAAGAGAGCGTTAATGATTCTGACGGATGGCGAAGAAGTGTAGTTGCGTCGAAGTACGCGTAGCTGGAAAGTTCCGTGTGGGGCTATGAGGGGAGCAATGATTGGATGTTGCATTGACGCGCTCTGGCTTTGAAGCTCAAGCCTCAAGCAGGTGGCAGGCGCCTCCACCAACACCAGCTACCTTACCTCATGACAAACCTGGTCAACCTGAGGAGCTTCCGACAGGGTTGTTATTGAATGATTGGACGATGGAGATATCATCAGGGTCTCTAGGGAAATCTTTTTCTTTTTGTGGCGAACCTTACCTACTGTCCGCCCAGTGTGATGGCTGAAAAACTTGAAGCAAATGATTTGAACTCGAAAAGAGGCAATTGTAGGTGCGCGGTTAATGTAAGTACTATGCATGTGCCCATCAATTGAAGTAATATGTCGCTCTGAAGATCTCTTGAAGAGCTCCCCGTCTGCCTCATAAAGTCATCCGGCTCAGTTCAAAATCTTAAAAAGCTATATCTAGCAAGAGTCTCTCTGCCTAGGCAGACCGACGGATGAAACTTGTTTGCTGGCAAGAAATTGTTCTTCCGAATCTCAAAATGTTAGCACCACCATCAGATCGCAACCTTCTCAGTGGGCGCAAAATGCAGTTTCCCTCAGCTCCGCTAGAACCCAAAAGACATCATTTCGATTGCATAATCGCAGAGCCTCAATTCGCAAGGCAAAGATTCCTTGTCCTTCCACAAAAAGCAGGCTTCTCGAACAAGACATGGGGCCCTCTCACACACCAACACCAGCCCACCATCGACGGCCACACGTGGAGTTGCTCTCAGGTCGGTCTTCCTGCGGGAAAGGCCCGTCGGACCTGCAGATGAACGGGGGCCTTTGGGGCGTTGGGTTGTCCACTCTGGCG